GCTGCCAAGTTTTGTTACTTTGCAGCCGATCCATCATCCAAGATGGGCGCCAGGGGGGACTTAGTTTAAAATAGGACCATATTGGAAATACATACAAATGTCTTCTTTTATATATAGTACCACTGAATGGAATGAAACCAAACATTGCATGAATGTTCCTTATGAGGTGCTGACCAAGTGTTGTTACTTTGCAGTCGGTCCATCATCCAAGATAGCCGCTAGCGGGGGACTTAGTTTAACATAGGACCTTATGGGAAATACATACAAATGTCTTCTTTTAGAGTACCACTGAATGGAATGAAACCAAACATGACATGAATGTTCCTTATGAGTTGCTGACCAAGTGTTGCTACTTTGTTGGAGCACCCGAGATCACCCCCAGTTTTTGGTGGGGTTCGTGTTGCTTAGTCTTTGGTTTTTTATGTTGTGTCATTTGTACTTTTATTTGTCTGTTTGTCTTTTTATTGTTGGCCATGGTGTTGTCAGTAGGATTCGATCTATGAGTTTGACTGTCCCTCTGGTATCTTTCGTCCCTCTTTTGATGCCGATTTACTGTTCAAGATGGCCACCAGGATATTTTATTAAATAACGGGACCAATATTACACCAAATTTGGCCTCAATCATTATTTGGGTATCTGTTATGATTTTTATCTATCTTTACATGATTTCTAAAACCAAAGTAGAGTCAGGTGAGCGACACAGGCTCTTGAGAGCCTCTAGTTTCACGTGCAGCCGTGAAAAAGGTTCGTTATTCACCGTGTTTCGTGAAATCAGTAAAAAGATCAACGTGCAAGAAATTTTTAATTGTTCGTTCATCGTGAAATGGCATTATAATTTCGCGTTCTTCCGTGCAGATACCCCCTTTACGCCCTTCATTAAAATTTAACTTGAAAGAAAACAAAATCGTTCTAAGTTAAAAGTAAAATCATAACCATGAGACATGAGATTTACGCTTCATTCAAAATGTGTAACCAAACAATAACTAGAAGTCCATATTTGCAAGGTTTACGCAAAACTGAAAACGGTATGAGCTTTAAGAGCTGATATAACAGTACAATGTTCTCAAAAGTTTATTTAATACTTTTTTTGGCCAATTTTGTCCGAATTAAAGTTCGCTTAAGCCGTATAACAAAAGTGAACACTCCCACGAAAAGACATTCGCAAAATATTTAATTGAATGTTTAACTATACACTCAAATTTGTAAAATCAACTGCAAAGTGAAAACTGTAAAACAAAATTGACTAGCAATCGAATCAAACTTCTATCTAACATGTTATTATATGGTTTAACTATCAATGAGATGACGAGGGACGTTTTTCTGAGATGGGGGAGGGGGATGAGTTTCAGGATTATCACACATTTTGTGACTGAAAAGACACTATTTTATTTGTTTGCTGTATTTGTTGTAGCCTGATTTTTAGCTAGTTAGTTACTGATGCTTTGTGCCGATTGCGCCGGGTTTTGTTCAATAGTTGTAATGATTTTTCTGTAAAATATATATTCGGAAGATGGACGATGAACTTACCCCGTTTTGAGTGGGTCCAAAAAGAAGTTTTTTTCAATTGATATTCCATCCTTAGGTTATGTTTATATTTTAACACTTTACTGATTACACGTGAACTTGTTTAAACAATCTTAATTATAATCTAAATCCATATATTGTTATGGTGTATAATTATAATGAAATATAAAAGTAATCACAGTTATCACCCCTTATTGTATCGCGATAAATATTTTTAAGGATACAAAAAAAGAATAAATATTAGGCTTATTGAACTAGAAACGTAATAGAATATCAAACAACTGATATACAAGTGGAAGCAAAATAAAATAAGTTCTTTATTTCAAATGAAATTGCCAAATATAAAATGTTAAAATACCACATAATATCTACTTTATATTGTAATAAATCGTTTACTTATGTTTCATTTCAAATGCGTACTCATACTTAATGTAGGTAACTGAAGGTATGCGTATCCAGCTTTCCCAGATAATGGTAGACACCGGTATTATCCCCGATGGGCGTGGATGCCACAGCCCTGAAGGAGTAGAACGCTTGTAATATGTCGGCCATAAGAATTGTCTAAATTGTATAGTATTCAGAAAATTCACTGGGAGACGTGACACAGAGAGAGAAGGAGGGAGTAAGGGTGTGTGCTGCGAGAGAGTGTGAGAAAAAGTAGGCGAGATAGGGTGTGTGTGTGAGAGAGAAAGATGTGTCAATAAACCAGAGAGAAAGAATGTGTATGTGTAAAAAGTAAATTCACAAAAATACTAAACTTCGAGGAAAATTGAAAACGGAAAGTCCCTAATCAATTGGTGAATAGACAACAACTGCCATATTCCTGACTTGGTACAGACATTTTTTTAATCTTGGATTAAAATTAAACCTGGTTTTATAGCTAGCTAAACCTCTCACTTGTATGACAGTCGCATAAAATTCCATTTTATTGACAACGATGTGTAAACAAAACAAACATACATAATAGGTAAAAATGTCAAAAATAGGGGTACAGCAGTCAACATTGTGTTATAATCTTAATCACTAAAAAACAAACAAATATGTAACAAAGAAGCAAAAAAAAGAGGCATTTAGACAAAGCACATTATCAAAAATGAAAGACAAGAATACAAAAAGTTATCATTGTACAATAATACAATGACGGGATGTATAAGTACAAGCCACGTCAATAAACGAGAGAGCAACTGAGAGAAAGAGTGAGTATATGTAAACGATTGAATGTGAGCAAAAACGACAGTACAATTTCGGGAAATATTTTATTTGTTGATTTTGTGGTGTATAGAAAACATAAAACAGTTGGTTTTCCCCCAAATTGCATAGATTGTAAGCTTGCTTTTACTTCTTTCAGTAGCTCTTAATTGATCGGGTACCAGAATGTCCTAACACAAAGTAGGTAACCAGTCGAAAAATTATATACTCCGGAGTCTGAAGTCGGTAATATGAAAATAGTCTATTAAACCAAAGTTCACATGGCTTATCAAGAATATCTGGGTGACGAACATCAGATGTACAGTGAATTTTAACATGTTCAATAAAAAGGGACAGGAGGATTTCTAAATTGAATAACTTGGTTTGTTTTGTTTTTTTTTGCTTAAAACGGAATAATAATGAATAATAACCATGCGTAGCAACAGATGAATTTAAATGATCAATCCGGGAAAATATCCCCAAGTTACTGTTTTTATTTTACTTTTTAAATTGTTGATTGTTGGGCGTCACTGATGAGTCTTTTGTAGACTAAACGCGCGTCTTGCGTGCAAAATTTCAAGCCTGCTATCTATGATGAGTTCAGTTTCAATCATTCTGTGAAGTTTCAAAGAGCTGAGTAGAAACCTGCAGGAGAATTTTACTAGTACACAAAGTTCTTAATTTTGAAAAATAAGAAAAAAAATCCTCAAATGATTCCACAATAGCAGGTGCACAATTCCAGCATGTGTGTAATCATTCTATGAAGCCAGGGATATGTGTTGAAAAATAAAGGAGTTTATGGCACAAAACTGGTACCATCTTTCGCAAACTTTACTACAACATTACTAAGTTACAAAGTCTGGAAAAAAAAAGAGAAAAATCCTTAGAAATTTTGATAGCAGGTACAAAACGTGTGTAATTGCTTTGTGAAGTATCAGGTAAGTGAGTGCAATCGTTCTGTGAAGTATTACATTGTAGGTAAGTGAGTGCAATCGTTCTGTGAAGTATCAGGCAAGTGGGTGCAATCGTTCTGTAGAATATCAGGTAAGTGGGTGCAATCGTTCTCTGACGTATCAGGTAAGTGGGTGCAATTGTTTTGTGATGTATCAGATAAGTGGGTGCAATTGTTCTATCGTATCAGGTAAGTGGGTTTACAACTATAGATGTATTACAAAAACCTGGAAGCTTTCGAATTTTTTTTTTTAAATAAGATTTATCGATTAATGGTTGTTTATTTAACGTCCAGAGGCAAATATTTCATGAATTTTCAAGACGATAATACAATAAATAGGTCTTGCAATAGAGGATCGACCGGATTGACGGGCAGGAAATTTAAAATGCCACTAATAAATGAAGGTATATTGGATATGGAGAGAAATTGAGCCTTGCAATTGGCCACCTACTGAGCCTTCAAAGAGTATTGAAAGGGTTCTTTACTGTCATTCTGACATGACATGTCTGCGAGTTTATGCATCCCACACACCCAAACGCACGCTCTCCTATGGCAAGGGTTTCACTAGAAGTCGGAAGAAGACCAAGGGATGACTATATTTCTATACCAATGGCCACTACTTTAAAAATTACGGAAAAAAATTCTCATACAAATTCATAACGGCAGATGCAGAACTTCAACATATGTGCAATCTTTCAGGGAGGTTTTAGGGATCTGTGTTGAAAAATGTAGGATAAGTTGATTACACAAATAAGTACCGACTTTTCCGCCTACAGTCCCCCATCCATTTCACTATAAGCTGTTTTTGGCATTCGTCCAACACAGCAAAGAATGACGAAAAAGGTAGATAACAGTCTGCAAAATACTACACAGAAAACTAAAGATTGAGCACCACGAACACAGGGTGTGATATTATGTACCATCGAAGAGGGTCTGGATGGGTTTATAAAAAGAGAATAATGAACAGAACGTGCAGAATAAAGGGCAAACAGAATAAAGAATAGAGAAAAATGGATCAAAATAATAAAGAATAGAGAATAATGGGGTGCTAAAATAAAAGAATGGCCAAAAATTGGCTAAAAAATTTAATAATACAGAAATGAATGACCTCCGTCCACACTTTGATAGAAAAGTATGCAGACCCTGCTCTACCTGTGGTAACGTCTTGTTGATTATGGTAAGTACAAAATCGATGATAAGTCTTATTAACAATCAACTTTCCTTTGATATCAAGTTATCCATCAATTAATTTTGTTAATTACTAGCTGTTTCGCATTTTATTGATTTGAATTGGCTGAATTCTTTTCATAACATGTAAATAAAAGAAAAACACAAGTTTTAGTGTAATTTTTTTTAAATTTTTTTATTGATCAGTATATCCCTGATCACAAAAACAAAAAGAACAAATTAACATATAACCGATGCTATGTACTTGCTAATATGAATTCATATCAAATATCAGATGGTATTCGAGGTAAACGAGTTGACCTTTACCATAGTCATATCTATTCCGTGAATAATCCAGATTTTATACATTTTGTACAAGATTATTTGTATGTTTGAAAGTTATCTTACAAATGTAAGAACGTTGAGCAGAGGAAACATTATTAATGTTGAATATTAATCTCTTATATCCAAAAAAATAAAATGCCAATGACAAAAGCAGAAAAGTTTTGTAATTTGGTCATCAAATTATGTATTACGAAATATAGTATTTTTTGTCAAACTATACATTCTTTTAACACAACTTTAAGAAAAGCATGGTTGAATTTTTGCCATAGTGATTAGAAAATGAAACCAGAAGACGAGTTTTCACGGTGGCATGAAGACTCCAAAGATTCCAAAGGATTTTGCGACTGGGTGATTGGTATTTATAAAGATACTGAGAAAGTGTTTTTTGTTTACTGATCCACAAAATAAAAAAATATTATAAATTGTTTATTTATTTCCAAAAAAGGAAGTTGATTTGCACACGAAAGCTAGACCGTGCCTGATAAAATAAATGTTAACAATGATGGATTCAGTTAATCCATCGAGCTACGCGGGTTATTCAGTGTGTACCACATTTTTGAGGTTATTTTTTCATAGACAGAAAAAGTATTAGTCATTCCTTATAACTTAATTCTAAATTCCATTTCTAAGGAGTAAATCATGAAAAAAACGTTGATGACGTCACGGTCACATGACAAAATTATGTCTATGAGCTGATAGACAAAAAACTTTAAGCCAATCTGAAGACGTGTTATATCCAAAATTAATTATGTATCAGTAAAATAATAAATTAACGTGTGATTTTTAATCTTTGATATGATAAAGCTTTCGCTGTAAAACAAACCCACGTTAAAAGTAATATTTATATTGTTATTAACGGCTATGAAGTCTTACGTCACAAGCGAATATGGCACTATATAAAAAAAACTGTATGCTTAAGAACCACAAGTAAAGGAAAATGGTTTGAGTATTTTCTTTGCTTTTAGTTGCTTCGTTATACAATGTATTTTGCTATCTTTAGTTTGAATTTCTTTACAGTCATACATTTTATAACAAATAATATCGATACCTCTATATTTCAATATTGTGATTGAATCATTTAATACATTACTGACACTATTTTAAATGGTCTAACATCAAAGTATCAAACGACTGCTATGAGGTAAAATCAATATCGCTCACATAGTACTGTATATTTCATAGATTTGATTTATAAGTTTTGCTTTTAAATAAGTTAATACTTTGCATAGTCCCCTCCCCCTCGAATGTTTATGGCAGTCAACTACACACATACACGAATAAACATAATAGTTTCTATTCATTGATTTAATAACACTAACTGATCTTGTCTAGATTCTTGGGGATCACTTAACCTCGTGAATCAAACTACGAACTGTGTTTTTACTAAATTTTACTAAGAGATGTAAAATCACGTCAGTGAGACAACAACACATCAATAAATTAACTTATGTTTGCGTAAACAAAATAGTTAGTTTTTATTTGGTTGCCATGGTTATATATAATAACATCAGTAAACTAATGTTGCCTCAAATTCATATAAAAAATATTTGTCATGTTTATCAACAATCTTTCGCTTGAATGTCGTTTTTTTTTTTTATCAAAAGAGGTTTATCTTTTAAAAATCTGAAACAGCCGTTTTTCCTTTGTTATAATCATCTTTTTATGAAATATATACAATTTTATGAAGCTGTGCATTTAAAATGAATAATATTTTTTTTTCATCAATCAATAAAATAGTGTTATCTTCTCTAGCGTCAGATACAGAAAACAAAATTTTCGAAAACGCCGAGGAGTGAAGATGAAGAGAGATTCTCTTTTTTACAAGTAGTAATAGTAGTGACATAAAACGCAATTTCTGATATTATAATATTTACCTTTCAATAAAAAGAAAAGGAAACATGTGAGAAAAAATTGATTTCCAACTTTCCTATATAAAATAGATTCAGGACAAGGAGATACTCATTCTAGTCAATATGACAATATTTCACACTCATACAGATATATAACAGTTAAACTTTCAAACTACATATGTTGATTTTATTTGTGTGTGGGTTGTTTGTCTTTTTGTTACTATAGATTCAGAAATAATTTAACATTACTGTGTTTTTATTACTGAACAAATGCTAGAAGATATATATCGATATGAAATTAAATAGGATTTTAAATGGTGAAATATAAGATAAATTAAGAATCATAATTCTTAAGAATGATATTAGCACTAGGTTAACTGTTACCAAATGGTAATTATTTCACGTTTTTTTTTGTCAAATACAGCACCGTACATATAAGCAATAAAAACGTATAAACAATCATCTCAATAATGTGCACAATAAATGTAAAATATTTGATATGTTATGATTCCAAATGGATTTCTCAAATGAATAAAACACTTGAATGATTCATTTAAGTGTTATGAAATTGATTGAAACATGAAATAAAACTCAAATGAACATACTGGCTTAAAATTGTCCCAAACTTGACAAAATGAATATTACAACATATATACATAATAAATCATAATATTATGATCAGCCATAACACAAAATAAATCTGACATACCATGAACATACTAATAATCCATGATTCAAATCATGACAATAAGTTATTTATAATAAATTTAATTTTCAGTTGTCCCAGCAGAAACAATTTATCAAATTGTTAAGAACGACATTTAAGCTATATCTCATTCGTCTTATCAATTGTTTTAATAAATGTTTTGTCTCCACCTTCTCTTATCTCCGATCATTTATTCTACATTAGATGCATATAACATGTTATATTTGTAAAGTCTTATCCTAACAGTGAAATACTGTCTATTTTTTCCAGTAGGCTAATTTCAAAATATTTTGCTTTCCCTTTCAGTATTATTGAAATCTACATACTATGTTTTGCTCGAATGCACATACTATCATATTTTTATTATACCCAGTTTTGCAATTGGTAAAAAAAAACGATTTTCTCATCGTTCGTCAATTAAGGATGACTACTGATTGATATTAAATGATAAACCAATTCATAAGAATACAAAAAATTCTGTCCGCATTAATTGCAAGTTATGCAAGTTTACTTATAAAACGGGTAATCCATGTATGTTGTATATATACATAAGAAATTGATGAAGCTTGCATACACATTGACTAGAAATATATTCATGTATAGACAATGGTTAGAATTAATACAAATAAATGAGTATTTTATTAGATTAAATTTGGATTTTTAGTTTATACACATTATTATCAATAATAAATTAGTCCTGACAAATGGCTAAACCTCCATTGTTTTGGTATGCATTAATACTTTAACTTTACTTTCTTATTTACAATAAACCTATGTTAATCTATCTGCATATCTAAAAAAATAACTATAATATTTAACGTTTCAATTTCATTTGGCATCCTGATCTCAATTTGGAATGTTTCCTAGTCAATTAAAATATGCTGTTAGAATTGCTTTCGCGGTTTAAGTCCAAACAACTGAGCAAAGGGACATTACTCTTAACAGTAACTTGTAATTTTGTGTCAAACATTTTCATCATTATACTGTAAGCTTCTGAGAAATCAGATTATTGTATCACATGAATGCTTAAAAAGCATTGATAAAACACATTAATGATTTCAAGAGAGTTATCTCCCCTAACCCAGGCCTATTCTCTTGAAATATAATTTTGTGAATTTAAAAAAAAAATCATAGCATATGCACCTTTCTTCCTTTCAACTTATGTACAAATCACAGTTAAACAATATTAAAGCGAATATATAATGAGATCATATAAATGTCAAAATGAAAGATTGCATTTTAGCACCCAGCCGAGAGTAATCTCCCATTTTATGAGTAATCTCCCTTTGTTCACTTCTTTCCATTTCCATAGTTGTAATATAGCAAAGCCCATGGTATATCACCTCTGATTGGACCATCAGGTACTGAAAGAAAAAGAACATTATCAATCATTTCATAAATATTGCTGATTTTCGCCATTACACCAAATAATGTCAGTTAATCCATGTATGTCGTGAAAATATAAAAGTGTTCATTTGTATAAAACAAAAATAATGAAATCAAGAGAAAATATGTATTTTAATCCTTTACACTTATCAAATATCGGTAAATTTGAATCGGTATATAATAGAGAAACATAAAAGGTTAACCCCGATTAACTGATTTCATAAAAGACCTTTGCATGTTTTCATATATATCAATACTATATTTTGCATAATTTTCTCCATTTTCTTATTCAGATAAACAATCCAAGAAGCTGGTTTGTTAACATAATGTGTATGCATGGTTCATAGCTTTTTAAATGCTGCATGACATATAAAAGTAAATGAAGCTTTATTGAAATCTCTTTATACTGAATGGGAAACATGCTACAAAAGAGATTTTACATATATTTCTTTTTTTAATGGGTTTTGTTTCTTAATTCAACTCATGCTATTTTATATTAAAAAGTTTTATTTAATACTTTCTAGTTTGGTAGATATAGAACGAAGGTAGCTTCACATTTGACAAAAAATAAACCATATCTGTTCGTATCTTTGATGAACCTTGTATGGTACGTTGATCCCCCCAACAAAATAGAATTTTGAAAATATTATTAGTTTAAGAAAGGCACTATTCATTTTGATTTTTTACATTTTTTTAATTCATCGATATTTTGTTTTATCACAAAATACTTTAATTTTAATCATTCTCATAGTAATGACCAACATTTCAGTAAAGCAAAACAAAAAACAGTAAAAGCCCAAACAAATCATCTCAGCCAGGGCTTTCATTAGATAGTAAGCCAAACACCAGCAAATTAAAATAATAATTCCAAACAAAAACAAAATGCAAACCAAAGTCCAATGACACAAGCTTTGTTAATAACAGTGATTTATTCATAGTAACAAACAAAATTTACTTAAATGCATGATAGTGAGAAATTAATCAGACAATAAAAAAAAGGCAAGACGAAATGAATTCAAACACAAACTATTATTAAATCGTTTACTATTAAACCAATTGTTGAGACAGTCATTTCAATCTTGTTCTTAAAGTAGTCACAACATTTTTACTTGTAATGAACCGTATTTATATACTTATAAAGTGAATTGTTGTGATGTGTAATTGCCCAAACTATGTTGAATGAATTTTATTCGGGCAAAGTTTTGTAATATATGTAATATTCATTTCAGTTCAAGTTTACTAAGAATGTTGAATATCTTATACGAACTAAATTAACATGTAATCAACGTATTTGATGGGAAAACAAAAATGAATTAAATATTTTTAAATAACACAAACAGTCAGATTTCCGTTCCGCCCAACAAATCAATGATAATTATACTCATTTATGTTTGTAAAAAAATAATATTGCCAATTAAAGTTTTTGAAAAGGTCGAGATAAATCAAGTTGACAGAGCAAAATAATTGCTAAATTCCGAAAGTAAAATCTATATGTATTGAAATGACTGTTCACTATGGCTGACTGATGAGATCAAATCATGCATTAATGACATGTGCTTACAAATATATAGATTGCATCTGTAATGTGGTGTCGTCATCTGTAGGTAAAACATATTCAATGAGTTTTATGATGTGAATGATTCAGGTTGCTGACTAGACCAACTTATAAGATTGAAAGTAGCATTCAATATGACTTATTTTGTTTTCTCTGTTAAAGACGTCACACAGAAATAAACTAATTTTCAATTACATTTCTACATTTAGAAATGTCAACTTTTAACCAAACTATGTTTATAAGAAATAATGTTGCATTATATATTGCCAAACTGACGTAGGATCGAAAAACATTATTGTCGACCCAGATTTGAAACTCATTGTCTAATGGATACTTTATCTAAATGTTTTGTGCCTCAAAAAACCAAACAATTTCGAAGTAATAGTGTAAACATTTCAACAGGAAAATCTAAAGAATTTTTCAAAAGTACCGTGCGCTATTAGTATTCAATGCACAATTAATTTAAAATTAAAACGTAAAAGAAGTGCACATATATTTAGTATCGTTGTATATAGTACATTGTATGTATTGTATTCACAAAAATGTCTGTTTATCATACTAACATTTTTAATTTTACATATATATATATATAAATATGTTTTATTAGTTTACACAGCTCCTACATTTTGATGATGAAATAAAAAAAAAAATGAATCTAACCATTTTACCAGAATTGACAGTGTATTGCGAGGTGAAATATAGTGTAAACAATATGTATTATCAAATGGAAAGAATACATTTTATTTAAAATACATTTTTATTGTGATAATTCGGATTCAGCGCATCCATAGTTTGTTATGTATATTTAATTTTATATATATATTTACTCACCTGCATTATATTCACATTTTGGACCTATAAATCCTTCTTGGCATAAACAGGTACCAGACAATGGATCGCATGTTCCTTCATTATCACAGTCACAGAAATATTCACAATTGGGACCAAAACGACCTTTGCTGCATGCTGAAAGCAGACATTTTATATATTCTAATATTCTTACATATATAAAACATTATTATTAAGCAACTGACTAATATGTTTGTTTAAAAATTGTTAAAACTAAAATAGAACTTTTTGCTTATATATTACATTATATCCTTTCAGAAATATAGACTTTACTGTGTGGTTATTACTTGATAAGAATTTAAAAAAAACACTTTATAAATTTTATGCGTCTGAAGCACTTTTCTAGATTTCAATTCACTAGAAACGCTCAGTGCCAATATTTGAAACCAAGGATACATAATAACCGACACAGTTGAAGAACTATATGACTAAAAGAGGACCTAAAATAATAGCTAAATTCATTAAATGTCAACTTTGCCTGAGGGAGAACAAACCATAGTTTCTTTATAATTTATAAATTTATAAAATGACAAGGTTTCTTAAAACTAAATAAAGTAAATAAAGAAATCGAAATTCTTACTTTTTCTGCAGTCAGGTCCTGTTGATCCTGATGGACAAATACAGTTTCCTGTTATATGATCACACTCGGCTTCACCACAATCACACGTCTCTCTGCAGTGGCGGCCAAACGTGCCTCTTTTACATTCTAAAAATGTCAAACTCTATGTTTCAAGTATCAGATACAAGATATTTTTTTACTAATATTACTATTATGATATTGAAAAGTAATCTGTGTCTCATGCCAGTCAATGAATTAAAAAAAGGGTCATAATGTAATGAAGTCCCTAACTTGATGCAACATACATGTTTCAAAGGATTTAAATAATTGTTTTTTTTTTCTATTCAAATCTGATCGTTTATCAGAAATCCCTCTGTTTAGCTTAAGTGTTAACTTACGTGTTTCGCACTGATCTCCAATAAAACCAAGAGGACATTTACATTGGCCTGTCATGGCGTTACATTTCCCTCCATTAACACAATCACATTCTTCAGAACAGTATGGTCCATGACTACCAACAGGACACTCTGAAGAACCAAAAAATGTAACATTTAACTTTCATATCTTGTGTGTCAATTCAAGTAATTCTTTCACAAATCTGGCAGTCAAAGTTTACAGGATTTAAGACATAGTTTGCATGAAATATAAAGTTTTTATCCATTGTATGAATTGACGCAGTATATTCTATTTTATTCCATAAGAAATGAAGGTATATGTTACTATATATTTTCACAAGTAAATCTGGTTATATGGAGTTAAGACATATGGAGTTAAGACATTAAGAGTACAAAATGAAAATTAAACCAAATAAGATAATATTTTACTGCATCAGATACTCATTTCGACAATTAGTTTAATAATGCTCGATGCCAAAATATCTTAAAATCCAAATATAATACTTGCACAAACATTTGAGAACAAATAAAACTGAGTATTCTGTAATCCCTATTCAAAGCCACAATTATTAGATATGTACTCTTCTGCGTCTTTTCTCTTACCTAGTTCACAACTTTGACCATAGAAACCTGAGGTACAACCACAACATCCTGATATAGGGTCACATGTGGCCCTGTTACGACAGTTGCAAGTATGAATACATCCTGGACCAAATCTTCCCTGTGGACACATCTGATCACATGATTCGCCCATCCATCCAAGATTGCAATTGCACTTCCCAGTCACGTGATCACAATGACTATTTTCAGAGCAGCCACAAACTTCAGTGCAGTTAATCCCGTATCTTCCATTTTCACACACTGAAAACAAAATTACACATGTTTTAATATTTTGTTTCTTTTAGTAATTTCCTTACTGTAACTATATATTAGCTGTTTGGTTGAATGTGAGTATTTAATTTTGTTTAAATTATTTCAAGTTCAGGCAAAATAGTATAATCATTATTAAAAACACTCACTATTTTGACATTTGTTTCCATGGTAACCTGGAGTACATATGCATTGTCCCGTTCTCGTGTCACATGATCCTTTATTCTGGCAGTTGCATGTCAGACCACAGTTTGGACCGTACCTCCCAGGAGGACATGACTCATTGCAAGTAGGACCAATGAATCCATCTTTACATGTGCATGCTCCAGTAACAATATGACAAAAAGCATCATTTTTACACTGACAAACCTGATCACAGTTAGCCCCAAAATGTCCTTCTTTGCAACCTGTAGAATTAAAAATGTATTCAAATTACACGTCAAAGAAAAGGTTATATCTTATGGACACTTTGACATACATGACTCCTGAGTCAAGATCTTGATTATGTAGGTATAAACTTGAAGACTTGCTATTAAAGGAATTAGGGGTAATACATTGTAATACATTGTTCTGGTTTAAGTAAATAATGCATATCTTTCCAAAGTATCAATTTTCAACAGTTAATTGCAAATTTAATTGCGATGCCGAACGCTTTTAATGGTTGGGACACTTATGCAAAACTAAACGAAAAGGTATGGTCTTTATGTTTATTTTTTCACTTCTTGTTGGATAAATCAGATGGATATCGAAATTTTTTATGACATAGAAATACAGCAACGCTATTTTGCGTGTGTATATAACTTCTGTGTTTAAAACAAGTAACAAAAATGTCTACCTAAATGTAAAACTTTGTAAATATTTTCAAATACAACCCATGGGACAGATTATGACATTATTAACAAGCTTAAAGACTGAAGAAAAAATACGAAGTAAAGACCTAGTAAACAGAAATTATATATGAATAATGATATATACATCATATATAAATATATGTCAATGTGTTCCTAAGCAACGAAATAAATATTCTTGCAAAAAATTGAAATGAACATACATTTAGCTAACATACTAGAAAATATTTATGTTTGTAAGGTGCCATTATACATGAAAAAGGAAAATCATAAATTCACTTTCATAGTAAACTTGGAAATATCATTTACATATTAATTTCTTTGGTATTTTTGTTGGAATTTTAATGAATGAGTCGAAAACTTTTTATCTACAGAAACCACCAAGAAAATCAAAAGGAAAAATGTTCTTACAAAGAATTTTATTTCAAGAAAGTTAGAGTGCACACAAATTCTAGTCTACTATTGCAATTCAGTAATTGAATGTGCTAATCAAGCTGAAAGTCTACATGTATTAGAAAAACACAGACACGTCAGTTTTAATGAATTTGAAATTTTCAAACAATATATTCTATCGTTTCTGAACCTAATTGTATTCGTTAAAAGATTATTATTTGACTTTATGAGGAATTCTATTGATAAAAATACGTCCTCATGTCTGCCTTCTCTTTCCAATACACTGTATTGCCGACATGCAACATAAAATAAAATGTAAGCCATTGATCTTCTAATAATATTTCAATAATGAAGGATCTTTTGTACTACATCTATATTTCCATTTTACATACCAGTCCATTCATAAGCTATAGTCAATTGATTGTGAAAGTTAGTTTGCAAGTTATAAGTAATTGATATAAAATTAGGGGATAATAGAGGTTCTAAGAATACAAAGCCATAAACCTACTACACAAAATGAAAAGCTTATCAAACTGATAACATTCCAAAATGCATTAAACTCGTCTTTTTTTTGAGCGGATGGTATTAGTTATTTGAAGCACCTGGATATGGTTTTGGCAAAATTGTAAATGATATTTATTATCTAAAATCTCGAAATTGGTTATTTAATGAAGCTACAAATATAGCAACAAATATACAAAAAAAATAAATTGATAGTTGAAAACTACTGAGAGGACTTCTGTAATTGTTTATGCATGGTAAAGGAACATTAGTTCGAGTCGAATTTAAAGACAACTGATTTTCAAGAAGTGTGAGTATTTCAGAGTGAAGGTATTGCCACCTGGCTTTTTCCTCACTACTCAATTTCATGAATAACCACTCACTTTTTTCACCAAATCAAACCAATGGAATTATAATTATTTATGAATAGTATTTAAAAATATTCACAGTTTTTAACTACCAGCAACATGATGGTTAGGGTGTTTAACACAAAAACTAAACTTTTCATTTCACTAAAATGAATAACGCTTAATGATGTTATATTGAATTATATGGTGACCTTGACACAAAGAGTAAGTAAATAATTCAACAGAAAAGAAGTAACGGGGAATATTCAAATGTAAAAGTTCCTTAATCAGGAATATAATATATTTTAAAACTTTATCATATTATATTGATATTTCAATCAACAAAGATGTAACATGTAATTTGTTTAAGTTCGATGGCCTATATAATACCATTAAGCACTATAAAAATAAGTAGATTAGGTATGATTGCCAATGAGACAACTATCCACCAAAGTTCAAATAAATTGGATGTAAGCAATTATAAGCAACAGTACAGTTTCGAACCAACGATGTTAAGCATTAAAACTAATAATGTATGGAACTCTTCTTTCTTAATGATTCAAATCCTTTTTTTGTACATTGATATTGGTTAACATCTTGATTCTAAATTGTATAAGGTACAAACAATCAATCGTAAATACTGGAAAATAAACCTCATCAAAATTATTTATTTGAATAATTCACATACCCGATCTTTCATTTCTTTCCAATTCTAATTTTGCTTTTCGTCTCAGCTTTCTCCGATGACGAGTTTTTCTACCTTTCCTATGTTTTTTATTTGGCTTAGTTGGCTTAGTAACTATATTCCAAGCAGCAAGTTAGTAGGAAATGTAAATTAGTAGTACAAGTAACTAAATGAAGATGTCTCATGTAAAAAAAATCAAGAAATGCAAAGTCTTGTCTTGTTTAGAAGTTTCAGCGATACAAGAAATTTAGTATGGTTTGTTCGGTAGTTTTTATTCATAATATGCATAATCTAATGTTTCATGTTTTTTTATTTCTACAAACATTTGCGAAGTAATATTAATTAAGAAAGTATTTGATCTTTTTTTATCAATATGACAAGATGAATATCGTAATGATGAAAACTTCTTTCTATTCTTAAGTAAGTTTTAACAAAAGAAACACATGTAAAAGAATCGAAATTAATAATTATGTTTACCTGTCTCTTACTTTAAAGTATTTTGATCTTCTATACATGACAATCTTTACTGACTAGCTAACAGATTAATTTTGTTAAATGTGGAAGCATTGAAAATTAAATGTATAGTAAAACCTGTCTTTAAAAAAATCGCAAATAAAATTTGATAACTTTTATGGTTCAAAACACTTCTGAATTAAACTTCACCGGATACGTGTAAGACCGAAACATGTGAAGAACAACATGACTAAAAATGACTAAAAGAATAATAGCCAAATCCATCAAGGGTCAACTTTGACTTAGGGAGTTGGAACCTCAGTTTCTTGATAATCTATAAATTTACAAACGAAATGTTGAACCTGTCTAAATCAGATTCTTTCCGGACCATAGACATTTCCTCTGTTTACCCAGGTGTTAAAACAGGTAAAATTACTAAAGAATAACTATCATTGTTATCACCACACAAAACCTTAGTTTTGACAGGTTTTCGATTTATAAACAGATCGTTGTAGACAAGGATTTCACGTTCTATACAAAAACCCTTTCCCTGATGTTAGGTTGTAAAATAACTACTTCTTTAAATCCTTGTTTGGATAAAAGTCGTCCTCTATTGACTACATATAAAACAATTTTACCTGACTAATTAATTGCAAGTCTCTATAGATAAAATACTTAGAAATGACAATCTACAAAAAAGAATAATAGCGTATTCTTTGTGACGAAAATGCTTTACATCTAATTACCTCTGGAACAATGTTTTCCTCTGTGTCCTGGTTTACATACACATTGTCCACTGATGGGGTTACAGGCAAAGTTATGCCCGGTACAGTTACATGTCTGACTACACTCTTCCCCGTACGTTCCATCTGGACATCCTAAAAGGAATTATATGGACTATGTTTACAGAGATTTAAAAGTTTAATTTGTTTCCTTTAAATTTTTTTGGATATATTTTAAACATTAATTTCATATCAATTAAATTATTGTTTATCCATATGTACGTACTTTGTTCACATGAATTCCCTGTCATTCCAGGTTTACATCTACAGGCTCCTGTCTCATGATCACATGGATCATCTATTGCGCAGGTACATATTTCATTGCAATCATCACCATAGAAACCACTGGCACAAACTGCAAGGTAACATTTAGTATTGATATTAGGATACTGAAGACTTTTTCCAATTGTAAAAGCAATATTTGGGTCAAATGAAAATAATAAAAAGACGAAACAAAATGTACATTTGCAATACTGAAAAAAAGATGGAGAAATATTTCTTAAACGGCTCTAAATGGTATTAAGTATAAATAATACCTTTGTCACAATAGCGGCCTTTCCATCCAGGTTTGCAGATGCATTCTCCGTTCTCATGATTACAAGTGGCATTGTTGCGACAATCACAGGTGTCTATACAATTTTCTCCAAAGAAACCTTTAGGACACGCTATTAATGTTAAGAAAAATATATATAAGGATAAACGTTAATAATATACATCAAACAATTAGAACTTTAAAATAAAGTAATATTTCTGCAAGTGATTGAAAATTGAATATATCCTTCAAAACATCACATATTCTAACTTTACTTTAATTTTTGTTTATTATCACATTCATTTTAAATTCAACCCTGTTTGACGACACTGTTGATTATAACATGTTAAATAGTCGGTGCCTCTTATACAGACATTTCCTTTTCACTTAAGTGAGGCTAACAATTACTTCTGAAACGATCCTATAATTAACAGATAGTGGTAAGAATCTAAATAATCATACCAACTTACCTAGATCACATTTTTCACCACGATAACCTGGACTACAGCTGCATTTACCAGTGAATCTATCACATGACTCGCTGTTGATGCAACCACAATCCAGGGCACAATTAGGTCCATAATGGAAATTATCACAACCTGAAATAATTGAGCGAAATTAAAACAACAAATCCATTGATGTTAATAAAGATAAGAGAATAAGCTTTTTAAGTGTATTTTCATGGCTTAATATCTCTTATTCTTTAAACTTCTGTAGCAAATTGAATCATTGTACGTCTCAAAATTCCCCGAAGTTTTGCACATCAACATGAGTTTTGCTAACAGTTATAAATTTTTCTATTTTCATGTCTGTTGTCAAATTGGTAACTTACCTAAGACGTCGTTACAGTCGACGTTTATAAATCTTCAATTTCTCGGTCGTGCGATCGAGCAAGGAGTCAAAATAATGTGTCCGGTTGAGGTGACACGTCTTCCTACATCCCTACCTCTTGTACTAGCACTTCGGGCTAATCTTTATTATCTAGTATATAATATGCTCATGTTCCTCGATATAATATACTGGTAATATTTGTCACTGGACATTAATAACCAATCTATCCGTCCATGATGTCCATTGTTTTCTCAATTAACTCACCTAATTCGCATGCCTTTCCTGTGTACCCATTTGGACAATCACATTTTCCATTGATATTGTCACATTTGGCATCATTCATACAGAAACATCGATACAAACAGTTAGTACCATAAAACCCATTTGGACAACCTGTTAATTATAAATATTAGTAAACAACAAACCGTCTTATATCAGAATATCAATAAACATGTTATGTCTTATTGGACTCCCTGTAAACTGGTCTAAAGAGCAATTAGTGAAAATGATGCATATGCGTTTGTCGTAATACAATTATATCATCATTCTAGATTTATATAACATAAAGATTTGGTTTTCACTAGGACTTAAAACACAAAACAAAAATATACTCCCTCAAATAAAGAAGGACTATAGTGTAATTTTCGATAAAACTTCAACTTTCGGAGGAATATGGTCTAAATAGCTGAGACCAGTTCTATATACATTTAATGTTGTAAATAAGAAGAGATCCATTACAATTGAACTGTCTTAATCTAAAAAAATTGCATAAGTGACTTGAAAAGAAAGATCAATAACAAGTATTGAATTTTAAAGAGTCAAAAGTACTCTGCAGAAACAGGAAAAGAAAATAATAATTTTTCGTAACTATAAAGTTTTTGTCATTTAAACTATAACACTTAATTATAAGTCTTCCTAATATAAGTTGTACCTTCTTCACAAGTGGTTCCCTTCCACCCAGAAGAACAAATACATGTTCCACTAACGGGATCACATGTACCATTGTTATGACATACACAGGTTTCCGTACAGTCCTGACCATACGTTCCAGGTGGACAACTCTTCCGACATCTCCCTCCCATCCAGCCAGGAGCACACGCACATTTTCCATCAACATGGCTACATTCGGCTTCATTTCCACAGTCACATGCTTTCTTGCAGTCAATTCCTTAGTGAGATTAAATTAAATATTGTATGTCGTTTGTATTTGTGTTTTTGTTATATAATATTGTAGAATTAAATGTTTGTTTTGTAGTGACATTTATTGTATAATCTCTTATGTACATTTTGTATTTGTATATTATTGAAATCTTACAGTGTATCTTTTGTGTCGTTGGATTGCTGTCATAAACCTATTTCCTTTTATGCATAACAAATGTTAATAGTTTCATTCTAGTGTATGACCTTGTCGATAACAACGTATTCTTTGATTTTTTTAATCTAATTCTATAACAACATTAACGGTACGATTTTACTGCACCAGATTATCATTTCGCCAATAAATGTCTTATAAAACGATGCTTCAGGACAAACCGTTTGAAAATCGACCACGTGATACAAACATCATGGTTTAATCTTATGGATTTTGAACCCCTTTAAATGTCCTTGTAGCAGAATTGCTTGCGTACTTTTCGCGTTGTGTGTGCATACTCATTATTAATGCCTACTGGTTTTTATGTATGGCGTTGTAGCTTTCTAAATTGACGTATACCTCATTTCTCCATTATTTCATTTCATGAATTATCTGGCTGTATGACAAATTTCAAATATAAACGCCACGAGAGGCGTACAAGAGACATACCATAAAAGCCTTCTGGGCACGCCTTTGTACAGAACTTTCCTCTCCACCCAGATGAGCAAACACAGGCACCACTTATATGATCGCACATTGCTCCGTTCACACATTTGCATTCCTGTGTACAACCGGGTCCATATGTTCCCTCTTTACATTCTGTAACGAGATTGACAGGAAAGTGATGTAAGCTGTTAATACTTTGATTCGACAGTTGTTTACTGATAATATAATAACCTCGTAAAAATTGATGTCATATCAAATGTTTGTGGACATTTCTTACATTTGGATTTCAAAGAGTAGCAGAAGCTACCAAATGGAGAACAAAAATCATTAGTCAAAGAAAAACCGACAATATCATGGCAAATAAAGGAAAATTATCAAAAGATTGCCATTAGGCTTTGTCTTTCTGATTCAATAATGTTGTTGTAGATGGGATCATACTGTATGCATTTCAAATGAAAGGGGTGCAAAAATACTTGACTTACAAATCAATTCGTAGTATTGATAGTCTAATTTTCATAGTAAAGGAAACAAAAGAAAAACAAATGTTTACTAAACAAAATTATTGATGGCACTAAAACAATTTAGGAACCCGAAAGACTCTAAAAGTATTCTACAGTTACTCATTTTGACTTTGTGGTCTTTTTCAATACATGCAAAGTCAGCGAAGTGCTAAAAGAAGTGAAATACTTGGAGTTTTGTTTTTTTGTGTTATCCTTTTATATCTAAAGAAAATAATGTTAACGGGAACTGGCTTGACAAAAATGTTCTATATGAAACAGAACTCGGATGTAAATGAAAATATGAACTGCTGCTGATATTTACTATACCTCGATTAAGATCAGGACCATGCACAAACTGACACTTACTTTCGTTACATCTTGATCCTCTCCAGCCAGGGGCGCAGACACATTCTCCTATAACAGGATCACATTCTGCGCTAGTGTGACAGTCGCATTTTTGAGCGCAATTTGCTCCAAAAGTACCAGGATGACATTCTGTAAACAAGTATTTCAGTTAATAAATAAATAACGTTTTAATTATATTTCTATAATTTATTGTTCTTATTAGGAAATACTGGATGTACGGCTAATGTCAAATAAAGGCAAAAAGGTTTCTTGACATATCCATATCCTCCTGAAATTATAACTTTACTCAAATGTATGCATCATTCGGTACAGAACTGCAATTTTTCATAACATTCACACAATACCAACAATAGTTTCATATAAAACACACAAGAAGGTTTCTGGAAAATATCCATATCTTTCTGAAATTACATCGCAACCCTAAAAATATTATAAGACTTTCTCACAATATCTATATCTTCTAGGAAAAACACTACTATACTCCAAAGAACACCTCATCCTGAAAAGAAATATTATGTTACCCGTCCTTTTTTGTGTTTAAAACTCCCTATCTGTCAAGTCATGTTGTCTTTCGTTTTTCTTCTTTAATTGTAATAAATATTAACCAGTTATGGAATATTATAAAACGTTTCCTCAATAATACATTTCACAAAGCTTTTGTTTTAATAAGTATTATATCAGAACATCTGTACACATGTGACATTATGATAACTATTGAAATAAAATCGATCAGAATTCCTTCTGGAAAGTAGCTTATATAGTTACCCCGATCACATGTTTGTCCTTGCCAACCAGCAGTGCAGTTACATTTACCATTCATAGGATCACAGTATGCTTTATTTTCACACTGACATCTAGAGAGACATTGAGCACCAAATCTTCCCTGAGGGCAAACTGGATTAAAGTATAGATATTTTATATTTCAATAGTATGGTATTAGCTATTCCATTATATTTGAAATGACATGTACGTTTGTGTTTTTGTAAAATAATGTAGTTGTGTTTTTTTTTAAATGAAGATGTCCTAGTCTTGGTCATGAAATATTTTAACAAGTTTGAATTTTCCAAAAGGGAGGTTATGAGCTGCTCTCGGAATTTTTATTCTCTCGGTTGGTAACTTCTGATTTACGAGATTAAAATATATATGTATTAACTAATACAGCCTCAAATTTAATCATAAAATGTCCTTTAAACACACAGGATTAATTATCAAATATTTTACTAAAATTCATTTAAGGAAGCTCACCTTCTTCGCATTCTCGTCCGAACCAGCCATCTGCACAAATACATTCCCCAGTTTCAGGGTCACATTTTGCGTCATTTTGACAGCGACATTTCTTCATACAGTTAACTCCCCAACTTCCAGGGTGACATTCTGTAATAAACACAACTTTATCTTTTTAAGACTCGTGCCTATTTCATTAATTGAAGTGATTGGATAGGTGGTTTATAATCAACAGTTTCTAAGTCCCTAACTGCTACATTCCTCATTTTTGTTACTGTGAATACAAAAACTTTCAATAACTTTTCGTTTATTCCTTTTAAAATACCCCTCTCCATATCCCATATTAAATTACTGTATCATGATTTTTTTTTATTCTTTACAGACTTTAAATGTAATGCCAGAACTTGATATATAAAATAATATTGGGAGGATGATGAGTAATATAAACCTCAATTCACTGATTACTAAGTATATTTACTAGTTAAGTTATCAATGAATATATTAAGATATGAGTGTGAAGAATTGAATTTATTTACGATACTATTGTTAAGTCTATATCATTTTCAAATCTCTGATAACACATATATCTTTTTAGATATCTTATTGTTCTTGAACTCCTTATAAAACCTTCAATTTGCAGTTTCAAAAAGAAGGACTATGGGTATTATCAATGTTCGTACACACAAAGAACTATACGTTATGTCATTGGTTTAAGTTCATTTGTTTAGAGAGATTGAACCATTCATAACGTTTTGGTGTATGCCTTTGAAACTATTACCCATATTGACATTCTGAAATTGCGCATTCTATATTTTTCAATTGTCTTGATATAGTAATTTCCAGTTACAGCAATAATTGATTGGATAGCTTGTCCATAGTATTAGTAGTTTTGTTAGCTGTAACTCACTATGTTTACAGTGTTTCCCACGTTTTCCTGCCTCACAGACGCAATGGCCCGTTTCTGGATTACAAGTACTTCCTCGACAATCACAATTTTGTTTACAATGTCGTCCATGTTTACCCCTTGGACAACCTATTCATGGTGTTAAGAGAGAGAAAAACGAAGAAAAGATATAAATAAAGTAAACATAAAAATTGATAGAAAAACGATAACACTAAAATGTTTCTACTTCTATACATCAAACATAAATTACCAAATGCAAATCTTTCTTTAATTACAGAGATAACTAAGTATTTAAAAACAAACACAGAAAATAAATATAAACTAAAGATGAATAAAAAAATCAGGAGATTCAGTTTGCAACTTCCTTGAAAGTTTACCCTCAGCGATGCTGTCTTGTCATTTGGTTACAACGATTTCAAAAGTTGTATATATTGATTTCTGAAGAATTTAATATCAAGCGTACCAAAGGAAAGCTATTCTAAAAATATGTGTGGTGTGCAATGAAATGGTCAACGCATATAATATGTCTTATATAAGAAAATGACATAATTAAACGTGTTAAAGGACTTTATTACTTTAAACAGCATTTCCCGAAGAAATATTGCATTTGAACTGACACATTTTGTAGATTTCCTTTCGAACCTGAATGCAGACTTCAGTGTTTAACCTTACATAACAAGAAAAATTGGTCAAGAGGTTATGCTTGACTGTCGTTAAAATTTTTTCAATTACCCGAATCTATTCTATTAAAGGTATATGCATGACATATACAGTTATAAGGCATTGTTAAACTCGGAATTATCTTTTAAGAGTTGAGACAATTGTGAAATTCAGAAGAAATCAAGAAAATTTGACGTCATAATTAAATTTCGACCAATCATTTGCCGAGAACAGATATTTCATTAGTGAGGAGAAATATTTTTCTCACACCGATCAAGAAATGTGAAAATAGCACAAAAATTAGAGAAACTTGATTTCGGTCTTTTATTGGTTCTGTTACGATTTCTCAAATCGTATTGTGCTTTTGAGATCAACGTTGTCGTTCAAACCTTAAACTGACTTATGTTGATTTCTGTGGTGTATTTAAGTTTCGGCGAAGTATCAGTCGTAAAGGACAAAATGTTGATTGATTGATTGTTGGTGTTGAAAGCCACGTTTAGCACTCCTAGCTATACAATCAGTTTTTATTTTATTGAATAAGGAAGCTGGAGTATCCGAAACGAACCGCCGGCAGAACGGAGGATCAGATTGAGTCTTCGACGATGGAAATGAAACCCTTGGTCATCTGTGATACAGACAGTAAATGGTCGACAAAATCATGATAGCGTCAAAAAATCATAACAAAAGTTAAAGAAATTATTAATTAAGAGAAATAAGTATATGAATTATTAATACGATATAAAATATAAAATAAATTGTACAAAGTTCAGAAATAAGACACATGTCGTTCCGTCTATATAATCAAGTAAGTGACAAAGTCACATACATTCAAGTGTGATTCTATTAAAACTCAGTGTGATATATGAATAAGTATATGAAGAAAAGTTAACTTTAAAACTAGCATGCAATAACATATACAATAAAACACTGTTTTCGCTGATTCAAACTTTCATAACTTGAAATTTTATTAGGTTATATTTAACTATACAAAAAAGTAAAATAACAAAAATACTGAACTCAGAGGAAAATTCAATACGGAAAGTCCCTAATCAAATGGCAAAATCAAATGATAAAATTCATCAAACGAATGGACAACAACTGTCATATTCCTGACTTGGAACAGGCATTTTCAAATGTAGAAAATAGTGGATTGAACCTGGTTTTATAGCGCTAAACCTCTCACTTGTATGACAATTTCATCAAATTCCATTATATTTACAACGATGCGTGAACAAAACAGACATAATAGGTAACATTGTCAACATATGGGTACAGCAGTCATCACTGTGTCACAATCTCAAAACAAACAAACATTTAACAAAGAAGCACAAAAAGCATCTATCAAACAACTCCGCCACAGCATAAGGAAATTTAAAAGTTCTTGATCCAAATGACAATTAACAAAAGCAGATTTTGATGGGGCAATCAAAAACAGATAATACCATGCACAAAAGAAAAACTACGAAAATTAAAATGTGTGTCTAAAAAAGTGCACAGAAAACTAAACATAATACTATGATAGTAATAACTATCAATTTCGGCCATGAACACTCGATCGTACATACTATAAGCTTGCTACATTTGCTTAGTTTTTATTTGACAGCATACAGCTTTAATTCTCAAGTTATTTCATGAAATCATATGGATGATTCTTATTTGTTTTTGAATACCAATTTACATTGATAAAGAAAATCTAAACATTTTACAAAATAACATACTTTCTTTTTGTCCTGTTAGGTGTTATTGAGTAGAACTTATTTAAATGTAATGTTAAAATGTACGAAAGATATTTCAATTAAGAGATGTAAATATGTATAGTATTTGTTATTTTTATCATATGTTTGTACCATGTGCAGCACACATATTAAAACATCTTCTGCAATTACAAAGGACGATGGTAGGGAAATAATACATCCATAGTTCTACAATTTTTACATTCATGTCGTTATTAATGAATTACAATAAAATGGTATATCAGTTTAATTGGTATTAAAATATTCGTTTTAGATATTGCAAAATAAAACATTTATTAAAGGCTGCATAAAATAGGTTTATAAAATTTGCAAATCAATTTGATTTTCTTCAATCTTATATTCAAATGTCCATTTATGCAAAAAGAAAGCTTACAGAACAATAACGTACAGGCAATCAGACTGTTATTTAACTACTCAAAAGGGTTAAGTAAAATAAGATCAATACAAGTATATTGATTTTCAACTGATCTTATTTGCATATTGTTCTCAGAAATTTACTTCGGGAACAGAAAGCGATGGTACCAGAAAAAAACATTTAATTTATATTAACCAGAAATCATTAAACAACATAAACATCAAGTATCTAAGTAGAAATCATGTTTGACGATGTAGCTTACCCTTCCAGAGCACCTGAGATCACCCCCAGTTTTTGGTGGGGTTCTTGTTGCTTAGTCTTTAGTTTTCTATGTTGTGTCATCTGTACTATTATTTGTCTGTTTGTCTTTTTATTTTTGGCCATGGCGTTGTCAGTTTGTTTCCGATCTATGAGTTTGACTGTCCCTCTGGTATCTTTCGTCCCTCTCTTATATAATACAAACATTTAACAGAGGGAACACGGCAGTATAAATCTTCCCCCGTATTTCAATTTTGAGGACTACGATGTCAATAGAAAGACTTTAGATAATCTGAGTTTTGCATTTCTGATTTAAAACTATGGTCATGTATTGTGTACAACTGAGGTTAAGACCGTCGATTTGTGTATATTCAGATTGTTTAAATTTATGTGAAAGTATTTAACATGTGCATGGTCACCTTCCACAAACTGTTAAACCCCTTTCTTCTTTTCTAGACAGACTATAAATTATTTTTCAGTAAAGAAGAATCCGAAAATTCCGTAACCCCAAAGAATTAAAACAACGAAAAATTGTAAAAATATGAAACGACCATATTATAAATGCAAGATGGTAAATCTTCTTACTTTGATCACATCTTTCTCCTATCCACCCAGCTGGACAGTTGTATAGGCAAGTTCCGGTCACGTGGTCACATTTGAAGGAATTGGGACAATTACACTGCTGTTGACACTGTCTTCCGTAGAAACCATCTTCACATTTTTGGTCGCAATTCTTACCATGCAACCCAGGTTTACATATGCATTTCCCTATCTAGTAAAGAAAGAATAAATTATAAATTTAAATATAAGTAAAGAATTTAATGGATCTCTGACGTGTGTTTCTAGAAAAATTGCAAACATACCCAACGACAATAACCTGAAATGCAAAATCCATCATTAATGGTAGACGTAGACGTTATTCTTTTTTAAAATTTGTAAATTCGTTCTGATTTATTATTCATTCCTTCAACATCCTTCGAATGAATGTTAAACATGATGTATGCATGTTTCTGTTACCATAAACTTTAACAATGCAGCTTATATGTTATTTTTAATTCCTGTTTAAATAGATTGCAACAAACTCTGTGGATTCAGTCAAAATATGGTGTAGATACTTGTTATTGCAAGTCCTAGGCAAATATCTGTATTCTGTGTATGTTTGATTGCAGTCTAATTGATGTATCCATCACAGCTTCTTTTCGTTGAAGTGAATGATTTTGTAATATTTAACGACTATCTCTAATTGATATTATATTGTTTTCACAACCAATTGTTTACTATAAAATGTCTAACCTTATTATCACATGTTTCTGTGTTTTCATGATGACATGTACACTGTTCCAAACAGTTTGCTCCATATGTCCATTCTGGACAAGGATGGTTACATGATGGTCCGAAAAATCCCACGGCACATTCACAAAATCCGAAAATTCGATTACAAAACCCATTTGGACAATGTGTAGGACATTTTTGGTCACAGTTTTGTGTGTAGTACCCAGGTGGGCAACCATCCTCGCAGTTGTCTCCTTTGACACCTGGTGGACAAATACAAACGCCCGTTACAGCATCACATGACCCGCCGTTCTGGCAAGTACAGAGGCCATTACAACCATCTCCAAAATGTCCCTTAAATAATAAAGACATACTTATCATATTACTTCAAATTTAATGAGTTTGTTGGTTTGTTGCATTTACATTCCAATGAATTTGTATATTCAAGAAAATATTCCAAGAATGGCTCAGTGTACTGTTTATGTCTATGAGATTAAAAGCTTCCAAATATTTAAAAAAAATTTCTGTCAACCTTTTTTCCCCTAAAGAGTTATTCCAGAACACAAGTAAGACTCCCTGAAATCGATATCGAGAGCAACAAAATCAGCAAACGTACCTTTCCCCGCATATATATTAAAAATAATGTATTTATTGAAATTGTTCATTTAAAAAACATTTAACTTGTGCTATTGCAGAAGCAATGACGATTATATAAACCATGCCAAATCAGAAGCACCGACATTCATATAAATCATACCGGCAGGGGTTCAATCCTCCGATCAAACTTGTCTATAATTATAGGTTTCATAACGATTGAGAATTGGATATCGCTGGATATCAACTCGAGTTATTTAATTTCAATATAATAATAAACGAGCCTTCGTCGAGTTTATTATTACTAATGTAAATTCAGAAATTATTGCGTGCATTTATTATTGCGATTTTGTAATTTTAGACTAAAATGCGATTTTAATTTTTGCGATTTTGAGATAAATCCTGTTTAAGTCATATAAAAAATTTCAAAATGCGAGTTTGAATTATTGCGATTATAACCCTGTCGCATTTATCGCAATAATAAAAACATCGCAATAATTTCTGAATTTACAGTATTTAAATTAAATAACGAGAGTTGATAACAAGCAATATCCAATTCTCACAAGTTGTTCAACATATTTCTCTAATGGTCAACACTCTCGTTGTGTTAAATTAAAAATTCCGCGAATAGTTGATCTAGTCTTTTGCACATACAAGTATGACGTCATATGTCAATGACATCGGACATTTTAAAACTTTTCGTACGTTTCAGAATATAATAAAATTTGACAAAAAGAAGATTTTCATGTGAAAAGTGTGAGTGTTTTGTATATTATTGAAGAAATCAAATATGTCCGTTACCATGGACGAAATGTACATCGTCTTAATCTTTGAAAGTCATCAATGACATAACGAATAGCCAATGGACATATTGTAATATCGTCTCATGATGCTGGATAAGCCAATCAAATTAATGCAGATTTTCGTATCACTTTTTCGTATCACACTCCGTGCAGTGTGATAGAGAAATATCTCTTCATGCAAGAAATAGATAACAGGCCGTAACCATAAGAGATATTACTATTTACCGAGTTTTAACCTTTTGGGACTTCCCATGGCAGGTGATCTAAACATATGAGGAGACGCTTACCCTGTCAACACACCCTTTCTTTCATTTTTTAACAGTTAATCTGATTCTATCATTTTTTGTTTAAACCTTGAATCGTATATTCTGAATGAGATTTGAACATCTGTAAACTGCTGTTTTGACATTTTTACCTATTGTGTCTGTTTGTTTTGTTCACACAATGTTGTGAATATAATGGAATTTTATGCGACTGTCCTACAAGTGAGAGGTTTAGCTAGATATAAAACCAGGTTTTATCCACCATTTTCTACATAAGGAAATGCCTGTACCAAGTCAGGACTATGACAGTTGTTTTCCATTCGTTTGATATGTTTGTACTTTTGATTTTGCCATTTGATAAGGGACTTTCCGTTTTAAATTTTTCTTGGAGTTCGGTATTTTTGCTATTTTACTTTTTGCCTTTTATTTACCTGCGGACATGTATCGTTGCAGATCGGCCCTATCCAGCCAGTTGTACAAATACATCCATCTTTCTCGTCAGTGCACCTAGCATCATTCTGACAACTGTAACAGTCATACTCGCATTCATCTCCAAACGTTCCAAGCCGGCATTCTATGCAGGAAAACAAGAATAATTAACACTCATTAAAAAAAGTATTAATTTATATAGCACAACAGGTAATGAAACTGAAATATATAAAAGAATGTGTGTACCGCTGTCCAGACAACACGTTCAAGTTTGTGGATTACTCCGTGGCGATAGTGACAACGTTCTGTCAGTTAAGGCTAAAATAAATTGAGTACACACATAGTAAAATCTTTCAACAAAGTATAAATCTATTCCATCAAAATAGCATCAATATAAAAAAAGAATTAAAAATGAGGAAAGATAATCAGTTATTTGCTTCGTGGGTTCACAATGGTAACATTCAAGAAATGCAAACAAATGTGGACTCATAGTTGAATTTCGTCAAATAACGAATTATAAATAAACAAACTAAATGACTTTAATAAAAAAAGATAGTTATCACTGAAAAGACTTTGCTAATAATCTTATATATATATTTATGTATCATTTGAATAAAGGAAATAGATATCTTACTAAAATATATAACTCAGCACAAAAATATGTTTTAACTGTACAAAAGTTCAATTGTTAAATATTCTTACCAACATGTGTTCCATTAAAAGCTGCATGTAAACATGTAAAATGTATCAAGATTAGTATTTTTAATCAAAGCTAAATACAAAGAATCTAAACTTTAACATTTAAGTCAACATACCAAACTTAATTTTAGTCTGAACAACTGCATCTCTTAAATGTTCTGATTCCGTGATCGGAATTACAGCCTTAGGTGTGGTGTCAAATCTAATATCTGGAAGGTCACCACGACCAGGTCCCAATGTGGGAGCTGGAGTCACTGGGGTTAATACTAAATTAAAATAACATAACATAAATAGAATGGTAAGAACAAGATCAGGTCCCAATGTGGGAGCTGGAGTCACTGGGGTTAATACTAAATTAGAATAACACAACATAAATAGAATGGTAAGAACAACATGAACAAGATGTTCACTCAATTGAATCCTGTGAACAACTAAAAGGCACGTGATTTTCAATCCTGTTGCTGCTATTTCTTTTTGTAAAAACGAAGTAGAAGTCTGTGTGCTTCACTGCTTACATCTTACAACAAGAACAACATTTACATTAATTAGTAATAATTGTATTAACTGAACTATAAAATTGAATGTGAAGGTACATAGTGATAGAAAACTATTGTCATTAAATGCGATATATTCAGACCCCCGGTCCAATTCAGTTTACTTTATAGAATTATTGGGAAATGCTGTTTTTCTACAAAATATAATATTAAAATTTAAACTGGCTTACATAATGTTCATGTAAAAGTTTTATTTGTATGATAAACATTCCAAAAGAAATAAAGCATACTGAACATGTAATAAAATTGAGAATGGAAACGGGGAATGTGTCAAAGAGACAACAACTCGACCAAAGAGCAGAAAACAGCTCAAGGCCACCAATGGGTCTTCAACACAGCGAGAAAATCCCGCACCCGGAGGCGGACTTCAGCTGGCCCCTAAACAAAAATGTATACTAGGTCAATGAAAATAACATGTATTTTTGAATTGTAGGTTATGATTGAATGGAAACGGTTTTGCCAATAGATATTATATATTAGTGGAGTGAATCATATATCAAAACTATATTATTTTCATACTTTTACCTAAAAAAATGCAAATGTGTTGTCAACAATCAGTATCATGTGAAAATACTAAATAAAGAAGTAAGTTCTTCATGTAAACTTCTGTTTCTTTGAACGATCCATTATTATAACCATTATTTTTCTACCTTAAAGGGCCAAAAATGAAATATTTTTGGCAAACCATTATTTTTACTTTAAAAGCCACTACCAAAACTATGATATAGAACAAAACGTACGGAGACATCTACGTCTATCTTGAGCCAATCGAAATCCCTCTTTACAAGCACAGCTGTAGGAGCCTTCTGAGTTTACGCATATTTGTTCACAGGCGCCATTGTCATTCAAACATTCATCCACATCTGGAAATAAAATTTTACATTTCGAGGATGAGCATTTTGTACTAGGAAAACAAGCCTTTCATTACATTTCAAATTGCACAAACCAGTTATTGACACATATGAAACACAAAGTGACTATTGGTTCGTGTAACAAGATGGTCAGTTTGTACAGCAGGTTCTGTCTAGTTATTTAAGAAATTAATATTTATATAAAGGGTCCTATTTTCATTTCTAGTGCATAACTTTATCTATTGATCATACCTGTGTAACCATATTCGAACTGAAATTTAACAACATGAAATAAAATATTTTATAAAAGAATTTGGTTTTTTTTTAGATTTAACGCTGTGAAAATGTCTGACTTTTCTTTTAATACTCTAGTTTTCATTTATTCCATCAATAGAAAAGAAATGATATAGGGCATCAAACAGTTCCATATGGAATAATATTTTTGTTCGGAAACAAATATTATCTGTTATTTTTAGACAAGCAGATTACAACGAATATTAGCTAACTGTGCACAATTATATTTCATCTCATGTCTAATTTTGTCAACTTTATCATGCCTGTCTCATTGCCATTTAAATTATAATTTTTCGTCATAGTCGTACCATCTTATAATTCTTATACGACTTGTTTAATTAGGAAACCAATAGAGTGAAGGGTTACCAACGCGTCCGGTTATAACTTTTTTGGTAGAACTCATTTTCTTTACCTGCCTAGTTCTTAAAATTGACGGTTTTTGAAGGGATAAAAAGATATAGCTAAATTAAATGCAAAAACGCATTTACTCGGAGTTAAAATTGTGTGTTAATTGGACAAATTCCATCTCAAACTTTACATACAATTTCTTATGACTTTTTATATGGTAAGTGACTTGGTCAAGTTTACGTACACATATCATAAACTCAGTAAAAAATGCGTTTAATCTCATAGTATCTTACCATCGCATACACATCCATCATGGTTTAGTACAAACCCAGGTCGACATCCACACGAGTATCCACCCGGTTTATTATTACATAATTGTGTACAACAATCATCCCCTAATCCACACTCATCCTTGTCTGAAAGAGAACAGTTTAAAGTTGAAAAAGGTTGAATCATCAATTCGATTAAGTTAACACATTAACTATTGATCCTTATTGAGCGTTTTTTTTTGTGTGGTAATTAACGTACATGTATATATTATGACCTTGAGAAGATGATTTCTGTATTTTCATTGGCAGACATCAATAACTTGGTGTTTTAAAGTAGTGTTTTATTTTCCAGTATAACGAAACGACATAAACTATACATGACTCCATTACAAGTAACAACAATGTGTAGGAAAAACTATAACAATTCAAACAAAATACAAATAGCTTGATGTTATATTCAATTCCGGTTAACAACAGATGCTCATGTGCCATTTTAGTAAAAGTCGCTTCATACAAAATGTGTTCCGATGAAAGATTTTGCATGTAATAAAAGAACATTTGAAAAATGAAATTAAATAGTTGTACTGTTTTAAATTACTGTAATCACAATTGCATTGCGATTTTATGACTAAAAGCGTTAATCAGTTAAGAGAATTTACTTCGCTTAAAAAAAAACGGATAAGTCACATTGAAAGTCCTTGAAATCTGTTATTATTATTGCTGGATTTTGAAATGAAGTTTCTTTGTATGATCATTTCTCCTTATTCATGAAATGTATAAAACATTTTTTTGTAATCCGCAGAAATTTATCTGTGCCTGAAATACATAAGGCATGAGTCTAAAAATCTGTAGAATTTTACATATACCTGCACACGACTTTTCATCTGCTTGCAAAAAGTATCCTTTCCTGCAGGAACAAATAGGACCTTTATCACCATGACGGCATTTGTGAGCACAACCTCCGTTTTGTATTACACAACTGTCTACAAGTTCCAATTCTATTCCTATAATAAAACCATAGCAGTTCTGTATTTACCAACTTATTTTGTATTGCACAACTGTCTACAAATACTTATTATATTCCTATAACAAAACCATTGCAGTGCTTTATTTACTTACTACGCAAATGAAAAATATTGAAAAGTTTTAAGGCGCTATAATTCATTGATAAATGTATATTGTGGTATCCACCGTCCATTTTCGTTAATCCGTGGTCATTAATGCTGTTGGCAAGTTCCTAAATATTCTTGAAATTAACATAAACGGTCAGACGTTTGAATAATTGATAGTCGTGTGCTTTACGTCCTGTTGGAAATATTCTCATGAATTGATAAAAGCACTTTCTTCTTAATTTCAGAATGACAGCATGACTTTTATTATTTTGCCACTATTTTAAATATAATATGTTTCCAGAGAGTAAGGCCAATTTGCATTGAATTTATTTCGCACCAGGGCCATTTTCAAAAAATCATCAATTTTCTTAAATCCAGAGTATCACAGTTGCATGTATTTTCTTCAATAATATTATTGTAGACTATGTTATAAACGCCTGAAAATACATGTAGCTCAAAACAGCAATTTGATAGATTTTTGATAATTTCGAATATGTTTAAAAACAAATGTACAAGAAGGACACTATTAAAAAAAAATACATGGTTTTATTGTCTTTCACTTACAAATTATTTTATTTCGATGAGAGGGGTCCTTTGACGTTAAATTTTCCGAAACCGTGCTATATTAACAATTTTATATTAAACACATTTAACAATTAAATGCAGAGCCGCAAAACGTTTTTGGTGGAATCATGTAAAACTGTCGAAAATTATTTCAAGATTTTAAGATTATGGTCCTTTTCATTTAATAAATATGGGGGATTGGACCCAACTCGTTTTTTTTTTTGTGTAGTGTACAATACAAGTTACTTATTGCACACGTACAATATGTCAATTAGCACATATAAACAAACAACAATAAATATTCAAATTACCTTTCATAATTTCTAAATCACTGGCCTTCCTTACCTCTTAAAGTAAGCATGTTAGAATAAATGACACAAGATTATTTCGACAAACCAATTACCTTGGTATATTAATTTAGTATCATTATTCTTACTTTATAAAATCAACTTATGAGATTATTTGTGTTAGCTTCAATTTATAATAGATTGTGTTAATCATATTTGTTTTCTTGAAAAAAAAAAGAAACAGTTCTTTTGTACAGTTAACAATGTGCATAATTTAAAAATTGTCGATTTAAGTTAATAGTATGCCTTTAAAGTGTTGCTTGTGACTGATGAAGCAGAATTACTGCAAGATAATGTCTTTAAATTTTCCTTTATGTTTATCAGGATTTGTTATGATTGAAAGAAAGGTTTTCTTTACCTACCATAATAGCATCTAGCATCTTCATGCAGCATTAAAATAATAAATATCAATATCATTTCATCGAGAATTTTTTTTTTCTCTATCAAAACAAATATTCTTATTTTGCTCTAAAGATTTATTCAGTGTAACTAATTTTTTACATGTTACAAAGGACATCTGAGAAAGTGCTGATGTTGTAGTTCCTTTCCCCTCTACAGATTTGATATCTTATTTTCAGTACATGAAAACTACACATGGTTTTGAATTGCATCATTGGAATATTATGTTGTATATTACACCTCATTATATAGGTTGAGAAACATTGAAGAATGTTATATCTACCAGCCATACCTATAATCATATTTTTTCTCCTCCTCAACGAATTCTAATGCAAGAAACAGTTGTACAAATAAAAGCAGTAGTCTACAATCTTTCAAAAGCCATATAATATAGCGTCCATCTACGAATAATTAACTAGTTTCAAAAGCGCTTTTAATAAAATGCTTTATTTATTTACACGACGATTCCTAACAGACAATAGGCTACTAGCTTTCCCCCTTACTTTTTAACTGATCAACACAGCAAATAAAATCAATAAAAATAGCACTTACTGTAACAAGATCTACCGTCTACACCTAACTGGTACCCTGGTGTACAGGTACACTTAAAAGAACCAGCAGTATTGATACAGGACTGAGTACAACCACCATTTTCATTAGTGCATTCATCAATATCTAGAAATATAATAAGATGTATAGAAATGATAAAGAACAACAAAACAACAATTTCGGCAACAATCTCCAACTTCGGTTTTGATTTGGCCTTCCAACTGTTTTCTTTCGAGCGTCACTGATAATTGTTAAGTAGACGAAACGCGTGTCTGGCTTACAAAATAATAAGCCTGGTATCTTGAATGATTTTTTTTTAAATCCCACAATTTCATCAATCATACAAAAATCAAATATTCAAATTTATCTAAAACTAGCTCCAGTTAAGTTTTAAAAAATCAAAAGTTGTTAGAGTATAGTATCGTAGTAATAACTGTAGAACGTTAAAAAAAAGTGCAACGTTTGTTTGTCATTGCACGAAGTTCGTATAGCCTAATACGGTTGACGTCTTGAATGTTAAGCATAACATTTCCCTCTAATGTTCCCATAAAATAAAAGAACTTTTTGACGAATATTGGCAAATAGAATCCCTTGTGAGATATTAATTCCACTCGCAAGCAATATTACCAAGACATTTTCTGCCATCCCTAGACAGCTTATACCCATCTCGACAGTGACAAGAGGCTCTGCCGTTGTCATTTTTACATATATGGTCACATCCACCATTTGATGCACGACATGGATTAGACACTGAAACAAAAGATAAATAGAACTTGCAAAAATGTTCTTCCATGTTTACATGTATGAATTATTATGCAGACAAAATAGTTTCGTTTGTCCTTATAAAGAATAATTCTTTAAGATCATTTATTAAAGGGGCACTAGCTACGAGATATATAAAAAATCTAATATATGATTTTTTTTTTGTTCAATCATTAATGAAAGTGAAATAGTGAAATAATTATTCGCTTTTAGCCGCCAGTATGGTTCAATTTTGTCAAAATAAGCTAAGAAACATTGATGATGAATTATTCACTCGCAAGTGAATAATTCGACCTCATTGAATCCGTATTCATGTGAACTTCAATTTAACCCCTTAGCTGGAGATGGATAACACGTGAATTGTATGTGTAAAGTTATTTAAAGGAAAAGAATGTCAACATTGAAAGTGAAACATTTGATTGACTGATACGATCCACAAAAAATCATTCTTATACAGGTAAAAACGATGATAAACATATATCTTTAACCTATAATATGAAATTAAACAGACCTAGAAAAATCCAATAGCACGAGTTCGCTTAATCTATTTATATTTTTATTTATGTTTACATCGCTTATATGGTCATCGGATGAATTTGGGGGTCAAGTCGATAGTTAATTAGATGGCGTCTAGACTAAAATACACACGAAACGAAGCTACGTGTTATCATGCCCATGTCCTGTTAACTGTTTATTTTAGACTTTTAATAGTTTGGATAAATGTTTTACATTGTTATAAATCAAATATGAGAATTTGAGTCAAATCGGTGAACATGAATTTGACAGCTAGTGCCCCTTTAAAATGTATCAAAATAAGAAGTAGTCAAGAATATTTTTAAGGAATCATTATGGTATTTGTTAACGCTGTCTCTCATTTACAATTTAAACATAATATACTTTGGACTTCACTAGTTTTGTGACAGAGTCGGCCAAATTTATACATAAATAAATTCCTTCACAATATTTTAACTTTACTATACCTCTACATGATTTTCCATCAGACTGCAATTGGTAACCTTCTCGACACCGACAATAAAAATGTCCGTTATAACTGTCTACACATACATGATCGCATCCTCCTTGGTTTCTAGTACATCCAGATACAGCTGAAATAGTTTAAAATATACAGTTTAACCTATCTTTTTCCTGCAAATTTCATTTGTATGAATCAATTAGTCTTAAACTTTTTCGGCCTTGAAATGCTTTTGTCGGACTGAGAGAAACATGGAAATTCTTAAGAGTTAATTCATTGAATCATTTAAGAGACAATTATTTAAAGGAGAGAATCACACAAGGTTTGTCCCTTAGACCAGAATGTAAAGCATGGTAAGTTTTATATAGAAAATATTTTGATGTTTTGGAATTAAGTAAGCCAGAATAAAAATCGTTTGATGTCAAAAAATTATAAATAAAACTAAGAAAATGTCCCATGTTATATTTGTTAATTTGTAATTAATCCAATTAATTAACCATACTGGCTTTTATTCAGTAATCATTAAAAATGATAAAATAAGTACTTAAGAATAATTATTACATATGCTTTTTAAAATAAGAGATACAGTATCATTTATTACTGATTTCAATCTTTACACAAACAATTCTTGAAAATCACATTACCAACATATTCTGTGGTTATAAAATGGACATAAACACTCATTTCATTATTCATGACAAAACATTTAAAACAGGCACATCACAGCAGCTGAAAGGTAACAAAATATTATTTTAAAAGTTGTTATTTTCATTCTATATTATCAATTTCAAGTTGTTTGCCTTGATCTCTAAGTCAATCGATGATTATCAAACAGTATTGATATGAAGGCACTAGATGGCCGTCTTCGTCATTCCGTTTGATCTCGTATTTTAATCACTGAAGGCGTTTAGTAACTGTTAGGATGAAAACATCCGTACAAATGCTGCTATTTCATTCCAATGTCGTCTGAATTACATTCAGCCAATATTCTTTCTTTATCAAATTTAACTGCTTTTAAAGGGAATATGAAAATCAACAAACAATTCTGCAAAGAACCATTTTTGAATTTAAACTTTCGTCTCGAAAATCACGTTACGTTTCAGTGTTCTAATGAATGAAGTCTCGACCAATCAAAATAATGCAATGAAACTACTGAACTGTTTTTGACAAGTAGGTTATGATGTGGCAGTTGTAAACTGATAATATGTAAACCCTGTAACACAGAGATATTATATTCCCCAGAAATAACACTTCTTGATATTTCTGAATAAAACAGGTACGAGAAAAAATAAGCGAGAAGGTCAAATCTTCTCTTTAAACAATCCCTTTTCCATATCTTTCAAAGAAATTAAATGAATAATTATTTACATTATGTTGTTGGTATTTCAATAAAAAAAGAAAATGAGATATATTAACGTGATATGCATGCACTGTTAGGTTAATGCAAAAATCGATAGTGTCTGTAAAGAAAAGAGGAGATTATTACAATACATGTTATTATATCTGCATATTAATAAAAAAAATACATTCTCGCCTTCGTCAAATAGCTTATTAGATATTACATAGGGACCAAAGAAGAACACTTGCCGAATATTGATATTTAAAATTAAGCCTATTTTTCATATCACTGTTATCATAAGTATTGAATTTAGTAGCATTTTATTCGAATTAATGAATTTAAAGACGGTAAAATGTTAAAGTGTTCAATCAAAAGGAGACTCACAATTTTACAATCAAACATTTAATATAGAAATTATATCTTTCTGGATCCAACATAACAATCAATATACAACCGTGATGTAGAGCTCACCATACATGTATCTCATATCACAGTATTTACTCGTCCATCAGCCATTTCTCACAACGAAGGATTAACTTCTTTAAGCCAAAAAGAGTTAGAGACGAACCAATACAGAAAAATCTGGATACCAAGTCTTATATCAAAACCATACAAAACAGTGGGATTTGATTATCATGAACATGCTTTACAGTTAATAATTAACATTAACATTAAACGCGTTCAATCTGTTTTATATGGGCGGGATCGAATCTCACCACGATGAGTCAAGAGATCTATAAACAACTTGCATGGAAACGATATAAATAAAGCGTTTGACATATAAAAGGATTCAAACATTCACGATGAGTCAGAGATCTACGAACAAATTGCATGGAAACGATATAGTTCAAGAGTATGACTTATAAATGGAGTCAAGCATTCATAGAAGAAGATGCATCAGTAGATTTGCTTGTTCATGTTAATAATTTGAAACATTTTTAGGTTAAGACAGCACATGCTTCAAATGTTTATATATGCACGGTAAAACATCCAAGGGAACAAATGCTTCATATATTTACCCTTCACGCGCAAGTCCACAATTTTAATATATGACCTATCTTTATAATGTGGTTTATATCCAAAGGCTAAAAAGAATAAAGCATTATAAAATGTGTACAATATATATGACAGATTTTCTAACGTGTTTTATACTCATCAGCCAAAAAGAATTAAGTAACATAAAATGTGTTCAATATAATATGACTGATTGTTATAACTTGTTTTATGTCCATATGGTTAAAATGAAACAGTACTAATGTGTCAAGTAATTAATGAAAACTAAATATGATATGCAAATGAAGACACCGAAAAAAATGAACAGAAATAAAGTACTTAAAATGAAGTAGAGTTATCCTTCTTTGAATTGATATTAGATACATATACTATATAAATGAACATTTCATCAACGCAAAATAATATAAAATACAATGTACAAGAAAGAGGCTAACATATAATATGAAAACAAAAGAAAGGTTTTGACTGTAAAACTTAATTTTTATATCTAATCAAGCATGCGCAAGAAGTATCAAATGTTAACATGCTTGACAGAAAACTACAAACTCGGCAAGAAAAATAAAACGTCGGAAAATATAATACACATTGAAGTAATAAAAGAACCAAGAAAAAAACAAAAATATAACTTTAAAATAATGATGATTACAGGACAAACTAAAGAAAGGTGGACATGACAAACGAGGAAGAAATAACTCAACAAAGAGGACCTCTGAGGGTAAAACGTGCAGAACAACAACCGAAAACATGGAAAATCTGGAGAAAAATAGAACAACACAGGATGCAGTTAGTACCATTATCAATGTTTTCAGAAGGAATCTGGTTAATGCGTTGCCTGTCGTCAAGGTTACGTGCAGGATGCTGGATCTGGTTTTCATAGACATTACCTTGTGGATTTATTGCATTACCGGAAACATATTGAGGTTCTTTCCTTTCGCTTGGTGCATATTCCACAGTATTGTTAATAATTGATATCGAGTTGTCTGAAAAATTTTATTCCTAAAATTAAAACTGTCAAATAATGTACAGAATATAAATGTAAAAATATCTTGTTAATTACGCCGTGCAGTCACAGCGTCATTTGAAATGACGTAAGGACCAATCTGGACGCGAAAAGGTAGACGTTTTATTATATCATGCAATGCCTTTTTTCAATTGGTCCGTTTTCAAGTAGTTCTTGAATGTCGATCAAAATGAAAGTTGTATACGAATTCTATTTAAAAAAATGAAACAAGAAAGAAGACATTTAGACACCAAAGTTGTATACATTATATGAAGTCTCTCAGCTCCTCTGTTGGACCGTAAGAAGCGGAGCGGAGTCATCAGAGATTGTGTAAGAAGTAGATATATAAAGTATGAAAACAGGAGTACCATATTATTTGAAAGACAAAAACTCATGTCGGATCAAATAAATAGCCAGGAACTTTGAAACAGGGTTAAAAAGAACTGTTTCTACGTCACATAGCAATATAATTCTACGTTTAATGACATCATTACAAAAAAGATGAAAGATACAAATACCAAACAATCAATTCTCAAAACAGAGAGTAATAGAAGAAGATCGTTTTTATTGTAAGTTGAAGCATCATACTTAAACAGGGCTTAATGAATCTTTTCAGATAGAAACTTTAAACATGAATAAGATAAATAATCGAACTAGAAGTATTCTTAAACGGAAATGTTCAGGCTCATTAAAATTGATCACTGTTATAATGAGATACTTTGTAAATTATTTCACTCTCCAATAACAAAAGAATTCACACCTTTCAAATATTTACAAACAAACTTCAATAAACATTTGCTATCATGGATACTTGAAACACCTGAGAATTCGATAATTCGATTTCATGGCTGAGAAATTAAATGGATCTTTGTACATAAGAGGAGACCTCACTGCTATAGCACGTAGATAAGCGATCTATATACAGCTTCATTTCAGAATTCAATGTCTAAGAATAGGCACAGAACAAATTAAGCTTGATCTGTATTGTATTTGAAAATCTCAAAATAGAACATATGGGTAATTAATCAGATGTCAAAAACTAAAGAAATCATACCAACGCATAAAAATGGAAACATGTCCATCTTGATTTTCATTTGAATACTTAACGAACAAATAATGATCATAAATGAATCAAAAGTTCTCAAAATTGTAAACAAACGTTTGATAAAAGGTACAAGTATTAAACTACTAACATAGATAAGTAAAAATATACTTAAAATAGTATAAAAGTTTATATTCAAGAAATGGTATAGCTGTATTTTTCGGGAGAGCGACTGGACAAAGAAAAAAACAATCATACAATTAAAGAGAAAACAGCTTCTGGGAAAATATGTATACCATGAAACACGTTGTAGGTTTTAATTTGGTGCCAATCATTAATTGGCCACTCAAATATTCTCAATCGCTTACGACTATATAAAAGACACAAAGACGCCAGCTGTAGCAACAACATTTATCATTGTTGAATTCTTCCATCTTTCGAATCTTCTTTACACGTAGTCTTGCAGAACATGCTCTATTTATGTCAACATTTATCTCTTTTGCAAAAAGACATTAGCAATTGCATATTGATAAACACATTTGTTTTAACACAAAATGCTTTTTACAAATAAACTAAAAGTACAATAATTGCTAATTTGTTCATATACAATTAACGCTATGTTTGTTTTCGTTTTGTTGAATTCACTTTTACAATCGATTCGTACTACGACTTTATTACCCTTCCAACCTTCAAAAGAAATATTAGTGATTCATCGAAACACATACTGTTGTTTATTGTTAAAATAAACATCTGGTTGCGGGTACAACAAACTATAAATAAGGGTGATCTATAGCTGTTCTCATAAACATTTTAACATAATAATAAAAATGAAATAAATAGCAAACTGAAATCCTAGCGTTAAAAATTGAACTGACAATCCCTTAAATGGTCTCGTTTACATGGCCTCGGTTAACCTGTGGAGATACTTGATATTAACAATTAAACAAGAAGATGAATTTGATATCTATCGGTTTGAGCAACCCAATAAATTTTCGTTTGAATGCTAATTGAGACAAGTCTCATTGACAAACAAGAGATACATTCTTCCAAATACAAGTGGTGATAAATCGAATGGACAAAAACGGATCAGAAAACAAACAATAAATCGTTTGACTGATGTCTAGAAATCAAAACATTTAATTCAGAACCTATACTTAAAATCGCCATAATCAAATTTACAACTTGTTAGGGTGATAAACTGACATTTAATCCATTATGGACACACAGTAAAAAATGACCCACGACGAAATTGTTATTATACTCTGTTCGCTACCTGAGAAAAGTTTAAATTTGCTATTCAGTGTCCAGATGACCACACATATAGGTGCAATACCATCGGTTCAATGGGTTTAATAAAGTACCACACCTAGAAGGTTCTTAACTAAGAAACATTGCGATATTCTCCAATACATAATTTTAAAAAAAAATAGTGATAAAGCACTCAATGTTATCTACCCTTGCTCACCATTTCTATAGATCTACAAAAACATTATGAGTATACTGTTAATTGTACTAAATTTCTGTTCTGACTAACCCTGGTAAAAATTAATTGACTTTCAGCACTTCCCCGAATAATTCAGTCGTTATATAATTCGCTACTCTACGGTATCATTTCCATTTTTTACATACGGAAATACCTGTACCAAGTCAGGAATATGACAGTTGTTTTCCATTCGTTTGATGCGCTTGAGTTTTTGATTTTGCCATTTTATAAAGGACTTTCCGTTTTATATTTTCCTTGGGGTTCGGTATTTTGTTATTTTATTTTTTTCCACTGGAAGAACTTCGGGTTGGAGGAACAAATATACGTTGACACTGTTTCTATATAAGGAGAGATCGGTCATGGAGGGGGAGGGGGGAATGAATTATTCAGGTTCATTCCGCAATATAAAAACGAAAGAAAGGAAATATGATGTATGCAGTGGCTATGTTCATATCAAGATATCCCCAACAACAAAAAATAAAATTGAATAAATACACAACCCAAACAAAAGGAAGAAAATAGAAGTTACATGTGTAATAGGAAGGAAAAAGAAAAAGCTTTTATAACCTGACGTCTTTAAATACTCAGATTTGCTCATTTGAACAATATTGATGGCGTTAATTAGTTTTACCTCGACTGATGCTGTAATGGAAAATATACGGTATCAATTTTTTAAACCTTGGTTAACGTTTTGATTTGTTTAAATTTCCAAGCAAAGATCTTCATAATTGAATCGACTCAGATCATGAGTTTGAATACATTCCCCATTAAAGGTACTACCAACTTTTCGTTATAAACACTTTTGATGTTTAACAGTTTGCATTTGATAAGAAATTTTTACTTTTTCTTATTTCTAAAATTTGCTACAAAATTTATGGACTTTTTTGTTCCCTCAGTGGCCCCATTAACTACGCAATATAATATGCACGATTTGTTCTGAAACTGAAAAGAATATTTACAACACAGAATGTAAAGCATGTCAAGCATGTTTAGCATGTTTCATTTCAAAAGTTGACCGACTACATTCGAAAAAAATTCCTACAAAATTAAATCCAGATGCTATGATGCATAAATAAAAGAATTCGAAATAAAACAACTTTTTATATTCTATTTTGATATTATTCTTGTGAGTTTTATGTTTCACGTGTTTTCAGAAAAACATGCATAATTGCATAATCAAAGAGGTATTTTATCACTAAACCTGCATCGTTTGAAATCAAACTTATTATATAATTATTACTCATAGTAGCAATATCAATCAATCTGAAGCTGTTACAAGCTAATAAATTGTTATATAGTATGATTTCCCTGTGAGACGTTAAGTAGCTGAAGTGTTTATACTTAAAACACATAAAATGTTTCATATAACATGTATAAATAGGCTAAACAAGTTCACCTCAATACGGCGAAGGAAAGAGTATCAAACTATTACTACGCCCAGTTCGTGTATGCACAGGATGCAAAAGGGTCAGAATTGGGGGGGTCCTTCGTTGATTCATTCTTTAATTGTTTAAGGTGGTACCCAACACCTTGACTTATATTAATTTGGCTCGTTTAATTTTCATAAAATTTTGACAAAATGTTTACTTTGACCCTTTGACAAAAATATAAAAATTTCAAAAAATTTGAACCAACCATTTTATCAGAAAAATTTCATTGGTTATATAGCAGTTTGACGAACACTAATTTTGATCATTGAGAAGCTTAATATTTCCTTAACAATACAACGTGATTAAAACGTTTAGCTGATTTTTACAGAGTTATCTCCCCGTAGTGTTAGGTACCACCTTAAACCGTTTTTCCTCTATTCTTTATTATTTTGCCCATTATTCTGTATTCTTTATTTGTTTTGTTTGCCTATTTTTCTCTATTGTGTAAACCCATACAGACCAAATGCAAATTCTAGTCATAAAAATTTATTTCTTGATAACTGGTCCTTTAAACACCTTACCATATAACGCCATGTCAAATCAAATTGACGTTTTCTGCCTTTATTTGATTTTATTTTTATTGTATATCTTGTAAAATATAGGACATGCAAGCAAAATGTGTGTTCTTTTTTATTAATATTAATCTAATATAGCTTATGTTGTGGAGACGACATAAATTTTTAAATCATTGTATTGGTTTCCAGGATTTGTGGCGTGATTTGTATCGTTTTTGTGTTGAAAAGTTTAGGTTTTAGAACAAAGTAAGAACCAAGAAAAATATAATATGAATATTGTTTCAAGAAAAAAATGAACAGAAAGGTTTAACAATTAAAAATAGGCATGATATATAACTCAATTTCAACGAATAAAACTTTAAAAAAAAACGAAACTACGCTATTCAAAGTTGTGCATATTTCTTGGGAGGTTTCTCTTAACTGGAGCACCGTCCGACTTCGAACGTATGACGTTACAAACAATAGTATAACAAGTTTACATCCCTCGGATTTCAAATGTTTGGCTTTGAGCGTTCCTGATGAAGGTAAATCTAGAAAAGCGCTTCGGACGCATGAAATTATTAAACGTGTTGTTTTCAATTTTTTAACCTATAAAAAAGGTACGGAGTGTTTCGCAGTCTCACAAATTACATTGCACGTCAGCATGAAGCAATAATTGTTGATCGGGTTTTTTATACCCACACTGTAATTTTTCTTCCGTATAAAATATCTTCTCCTATCCGAGACAGGTTCCCAATTATATATCTCTTTCTAGCCAATAGAACCCCAGCCACTTCATAAGGCAACCAATCAAAACCAATATTTGTAAAGTTAAAATTTCAAGATGGCGTGAATATAGAATGAAATTAATAGCTTCGCACCGTGCTGCGAAGCAATCAGACTGGATAAAACATAAATGCAACGACACATTTTCTTAAATCATAACGTTTGATGTGAAGCTATACCGAGTTTGTTACTTAATTGAATGTAATATCACCGAGACGAATTAGAGATATGATACTTGCTATTAGTTATCATGAACCAATATGTATATTATATAGTTCATGTTTATCTCGATTTTTCACCCATTTAAAACATGTTTGATTAACCAATTTCATAATGACATTGACCAACTTACGGTACTTAAAAGTACAAACGAATATTTTACATTATTCAACTAGCGGGTTCACGTTTCTTTGAATTAATTTCCAAAAATTTATGAGAAGCTGTTGTACTTATAACTCATTTTCTCATATGTTTAATTTGTGTGAGATTAAATGCAGCTGTCATTTTTATTAAAGAATTCTTACAGCAATCCAGACAAACAGGTTTGTACTATAAATAGAACGAAATGCAATAATGACACTTCCGAAAACATTTTTCAAATGTTGTCTGCTTTGAAATTACCAGATGTTTCGATTGTGTTTCTTTTACACATAGATGAATAGTAAGCCTTCTACATTGATCAGAGACAAAAATACTTCATTTATGCAAGCAAATTTTACTGTTACAATGGCAGCTATATCATATTCCATTTTACTTCACATGATATTTTTTCTTGTATCACCCTACTGCCAAGTCATTATTCTAAAAGTAGTTACGGCGATACCATACAACTCTCTCGGCTAGGATCCATTATAAATATGAACAAGTCTAAATTCACCTCGTGCTCAACCATAACAGAACAAAACTTTGTCATAAACTTGTCATTTCATATCTACAAAATGTACATACAAACAATACCGACGATCTTAAACAATATGTGACGGGCGGATTGAAAGCCCAATAACGAACACTTCAAATTGCGGGCAAGTACATTATATGCCTGTAGACCTAAGGGGTGTTTAATATATTAGTTCAGCGAAAACTTGACCTGACACAACCAAACGCAAAGACAAGCGAAAAAATATGGAAATATATGTAAGCAAAACTATTAAATTTTCGATCATAAAAACGATAATTCGGCAAAAAGAAAAAAAACATTTGGACTGAAATAGAAATTTAATCTGTGATTTATTGCTTACAAATATATAATTCGAAACACTATACATGTAGTAAGTTTATGTGGTACGAAATTGTATATACAGTCGGCCCATATCATCATCATGGAAAATTTAGGGTACGAGATGATAGTTTTGGGTACGAAATGGTTAAGGTACGAAATGACTAGCTTCTTACCAATACAGGTTCTACCATCAGCATGCAGACGATATCCGTCTGGACAAAGACAAATAAAACCACCATGGCTGTTCTGACATTTGTGTTGACATCCACCATTTCTTGTTGAACATTCATCAATATCTACAAATGCATTTAACAATTATGATGGTTTATTAAAAAGAACTCCACCCCGGATTATTTTATTTAGAGATTATAAATTGATAACACTTCTAGGGATACTGATATAAAAAATAAGAATATACTGTACGATTGCCAATGACAAATTTCCAACACAACCCAAATAAAGTAGAAGAGAGCAGTCGAGTTCACCGCCGTGTCTTTTGGGGTTCGTGTTGCTCACACTTTAGGCAAAGTTGACCTTAGATGAATTTGGCTATTTGTTCTAGGTATTTTTGTCATATAGCTCTTCAACTGTTTCGGTACTTATACATCCCTCGGATTTCAAATGTTTGGCATTGAGCGTTCCTGATGAAGGTAAATCCAGAAAAGCGCTTCGGACGCATGAAATTATTAAACGTGTTGTTTTCAATTTTTTAGATTTATGAGATTATTTAATGGACTGTTGTCTGTTTATCTTCCCCTTCCAGACCACCTGAGATGACCCAAGGTCTACATGGACTGGTGTTGTCTTTTCGTTGTTTTTCGCTTGTATTATGATGTTGTCGGTTTCTGTCTACTTATGAAATATGATATTGTCTCTCTGGTATCTTCTGTCTCTTTTTTACATAGGTGTTTTTTAAGGGAAATATTTCTACGGTTATTTTGTTCTTTTTTATGAAAAATGTTGGATGAACGGGTTAAACTGCTTAACAATTTATAAACACCAGCCATATTACCGACAGATTGTTTTATCCAAGTTTTTTCTTTGTTTCAAATTTCGGATTTTTAAAAAATATTTTCGGATTTTTTCTTACCAATACATCTTTTGTCATCTTCTGCCAACTGGAAACCTTCATGACAACCACAGTAAAATGAACCAATGGAATTGAAGCACTTATGTTCGCAATTGCCGTTGTTTACTCGACACTCGTCAACATCTGAAATAAATCAACCGTGACAACATTAAGGTAAATATTGTTGTGTGTTGTTTGTTTGGTTTTGACAATGTTGCCCCCCCCCCTCCCCGCCCCTTCTGTTTATATTCATAAACTCAAAAGACATTTTTGTTGTACTCGCCCGACGTCCAATCGTTAATTTTACTGTCGCCAAGTTAATTTTCTGGCGTCGAGAAAGCGACTGTAAAATCAAAAGATGAAGTCTTCCAGTATTATTTTTTTTTTCCTTTTCTATTGCATTCATAAGAAATTACATTTGCAACAAATAACACAAGAGGCATAGATATTTTATCATTTCGAAACCCAAACGCGAACGAGACTTGATTTCATTTGGTGCCAATAAATTATTCCAAACACCAGCAGCATAATTCACTTATAATACATACATCACCGATATAAGGTGTGACTGTATACTTTCAAGGGTGAAATAATGCAGGTGTTTTTCACAGAGAATTTAAAACAAAAGCAAAAAGTTTAAAAGTTCCCAACTAGACTGGATTATGTATTTCAACACCTTTCTCGTTTAACAGCATTCAAAGAATGTTATATAGATAAAGTTGGTGTAATATCTTTACATGTACAAGATATATTTGCACTTCCTTTTTGGCAATCAAGTCAATCTCCTATATCGTTTAACAATATGAAATTTAAATCTAGAGCATAAACAGCAAAGATTCTAAAATTATGCAAGACAAGATAAATTATAAATGTTGAAACACTTTAAGAATATTTATCGTAGAAAATGATTTTATCGGTGAATGTTCTCGCTCTGTGATGGATTGGATGACTATATAATGAAGGCAATGATATAATTTATTCAAAACAAAATGTAAATGAAGCAGAAACTGTAGATAAAAAGAATAATAATAGAAACTTTAATAGATTGAATAATTTTACTGTTGACATACTGTATGCATATGTCGAAGTTGTGCACAGAATTTACTGTCGAGTGATGTCCCCTGGCTTGATATCGATCAGATTTGAGACAGATTTGTCAGTCTATACGAAGAAAGGAAATGTGCGATAAGAACACTTTTATAAATATTTGAATTATAAACTGGAAAAAGTATTATAAATCTTTCAAATAACATCATCATTATGTTCACAAGGTACTAGTCTCACAGTGACTAGCTAGTCTGTCAGATATTGATATCAAAATGTTTCAATGTTGACTGGGCTTTCAAAATTGCTGCATTGAAGGAAACGACAAAAACAGAGTACCAATGTCCCCCGCATTGCACATATTTTATCTATCCAGGGGCAATAACTAAAAAAAAAAAAACTTTTTTTTTTTGGTTCTTTAAACAATTTATAAATAAAAAGCGTGCGCGGGGGACAAAAAAGTTTTTTTTATTGTATACTAAATATTTCAAACAGACCTTCTCGGGCATTACTTATAGTATACTATAAGTTTATAAAACATTGTACCAGTGAGAGCGCTAACGAGGCCATTTTCCATAAATTTAATATTTCCAAGTGTCATAAATCTTTTTAAAAAAGTCGATCGTCCACCATTATAAAACTTGTCCGAGATATTGCTAATATTAACCTATAGTATAAGTTTTATAAAAATCTGGCAAAAATTGTACCCTTGAGAGCGCTAACGAGGCCATATTCCATAAATTTAATATTTCCAAGGGGCATAACTCTTTTAAAAAAAGTCGATCGGCCACCATTATAGAACTTGTCAGAGATATTGCTGATATTAATCTATAGTATAAGTTTTATAAAAATCTGGCATTAATTGTACCTGTGAGAGCGCTAACAAGACCGGGCGGAATGACGGACGGACGCCCGCCCGGTATTTCTATGTCCCCTGCAACGCGTTACGCGGGGGACAATAACCTAATTTTACAATTTTGTCATTAAATATTAAGCCTTACCCAAAAAGACATTGGGATGTTTGATAAGAGCAATCATAAATTCAGATTTGTGTGTACTTTCATGCAAACTGCTAGTTTGAGAGATCGAATAAAGGGAAATGTCTTACAAATGCATGTGCTAAGCTAATGAAGAAAATGATTACAAAAGTAAAGAAAATAATTCAATATTACATATTAATTATTTTTTCTTACATGTTTAATGATATAAAAAACATTTAAATTAATTACATCAAAATGAAACAAAATGTGCTTTATTGCGATACACTGTTTATATACTGTAAATAAAAATAAGAAACAAAGGTCTGTTCATTACAAATCTTGTTTATAAACTTTAGATATGTAGAATTAATATAACATAAACGGTACCAATTTTACTGCACCAGATGCACATTTCGGCAATAAATGTGTCATCAGTGATGGTGGTGATGATGATTGATGGCTGTTTAACATCTAGTGACAAGTTAAATGCATTTTTAGGACGAGAACATTGTATGCACCTGTCCTAAGTCAGGAATCTGATGTTCAGTAGTTGTCGTTTGTTGATGTGGTTCATAATGTTCTCGTTTCTCGTTTTTTTTATATAGATTAGACCATTGGTTTTCCCGTTTGAATTGTTTTACACTAGTAATTTGTGGGGCCCTTTATAGCTTGCTGTTCGGTGTGAGCCAAGGCTACGTGTTGAATAGATATAAGAAGATGTGGTATGAGTGCCAATGAGACAACTCTCCATCCAAGTCAAAATTTATAAAAGTAAACCATTATAGGTCACAGTACGGTCTTCAACACGGAGCCTTGGCTCACACCGAACAATAAGCTATAAAGGGCCCCCAAAATTACTAGTGTAAAACCATTCAAACGGGAAAACCAACGGTCTAATCTATATAAAAAACGAGAAACGAGAAACACTTATGAACCACATCAACAAACGACAACTACTGAACATCAGATTCCTGACTTAGGACAGGTGCAAACAAATGCAGCGGGTTTAAACGTTTTAATGGTACCAAACCTTCACTCTTTTTCTGAAACAATAGTGTAACATCACAACATGAAGACCGTACTTTGACCTATATTGGTTTACTTTTATAAATTTTGACTTGGATAAAGAGTTGTCTCATTGGCACTCATACCACATCTTCTTATATCTATGTTAATACGATGTGATCATGAACCCTTCTTCTTACAAGACCGAAACGCTGAGCCGGATTTTCAACGTGCTAGTTCACAAGGTAAAAGGTCCACAGGAACACTTGCCACCCACTTGTCACACCATTCTCACTCGGAGCCAATCTGTATTTGCTCTTACGTGCCTAGCAAATACCAATTTGAAAGTCTTTTGTTTGAACTGGCCGGGGATCGAATCCACGACCTCTAGATAAAGTAAACTTATATCCTTGCATTTATGTTTAATTGTGAAATAATGAAATATAGTTTACAAAAAAATCACTCAATAAATGGGAGATATGTCACTGAATCAAATGTACAAATGATTGTCAGTTAGTTTTTGTATTGACGGTGGTTCCATTTTGGTGAATGATGGTAAGGAAATTTACGACGAATTGGTAAAACTTTTAAAAATTATATGCGTTAGAGTATTTTGTTTCTAACATAAGAACAATCATCATAATGATTGATTCTTGATAAAAATTATCTTTAATCTGATTTAAACTCAGATCCTGTGTCTACGCTTAGCTTACAAAGATCTGCAAACGCTCCGTTTTACTTTCTGTTTTAAAAACCTTTCGAGATACTCTGGTTTTCTCGTAATGATACACGCCTACAAACATGTATGCCAGACATTTCCTTGGCTGATTCTTTTTCTTCGTTTTTTTTCACATTTCAAAAGAGGGTAATCCCCCTCAAACAACTACAGACCACCGAATTACTTTTTTAAACAATAATATAGAAAAATGTAAGATACAATATTGATAAAAAGGTAAAAGTCTTTCTTTCTTTTTTTTTTTCAACTTCAGATATTTTATTTCACTAATAGTTGTTAACAATGTCCCTTAGTGTTACAACAATGGCACTAAAGTTCATCGCTGTATTGTTAATTGCCAATAAAATCAGGGGATTTCATTAGCAAACTTCTTATACATCTATATTTTATGACGTGTTAGTTTCAATTTACAGTGTAATTCTACAAACATGTATACTTTTTGGAAGTACATCGGCTGAGATACAATGAAAAAGAAAACGTATCTTTGACCGTCATTTTTCGGATTTTAGAAACGAAAGTAAAAGCATGGTTTTCTAATCTTTTGGATCGAAAGGTCAGTGTTATTGAATTTATTACGATTGCCTTTTAGATAATATCTTATCATTCAATTACTTCAAACATAGAATAATATACGATAAATGGTATTCAAACAAAAATGAAGAAAGGAATAGTTCTTCATTAGCATTTGCCTTCCTTTTATTTCAATGATTTTTTTACTGTGGTACTAAGCCATCCCAATGCAAACAAAAGAGATACAGAATTAAATTTCTTAGGGAACAAGTACATCCACAAGCGACAATCTGTAATCTGAAGATGAAAGTTCAATGGTATTTTCAAAGGCGGTTTAAATACGCAGTTCTCGCTCTTTCAAAAGATAAACTTTCAATGCCGTTACACGATGAACATATGCAGGTATCTTCTAAATGGTATTATTTTCTAAATGGATTATCCTTTCATTTTCATTTCATTAAATGTCAAACTACTAAATATGTAAATGTTTATTGCAAAATTGCAAAAGGCGTCGTTAAAATATCAAGTTATATAATTATGCTTCTTAAGTTACAGTTACTCTTATGCAGTACGCAATAATGTCGTTCTATTTGTGAAGCGTTCATAAATATCTCATTACAAGCTTATTTAGTGTTTAACACGTCCTAAAACGTATTATAATATTTTTAATCTGCATGTAATCAAAGTTTCCATTTAAATTACATAACTATAAAAGAAAAGAAAGAATAAAAGATTCTCAAGAAAACAAAATACGAACAAGTCGTTCAAACTGAACTATGAACGAGCGTACCTGACGAACAATGGTCAAAAGTTAAAGTTCTATGACATTCATTATAAATAAGAAGATGTGGTATGAGTGCCAATGAGAC